TGGTGAATTCAATTGCAGGTTTTTTGTAGAAGGCGTTAAACTCAAAGTTGTGTGTTTTGTCATTGGCAAAACATCCGACAAATGTCTAGTCTGAATGTAGATGTGTCTCAAAATGGGAGCTTGAAAAATGCCGATACCCTTCGCGCTTTGGCTGAATTTGAAGAAATGGATTTCTCAAGGATTTTAGAGAGGCCACCAAGGCCTTTGAATATGGAGAGGCAAAGATCATGCGATGAAAGGTCTTTCAGTGAATTGTCTATTGGGATGCCTATGCCTTCTCCTCGTCCCTCGTCAAGAGCTGAGAATAGCTTTAGGTTAATGGACCATCTTGATTCTTTACATTCTCCTGGTAGAAGGTCAGGGTTTAATACTCCAAGGTCACAATATGGGTTTGAGACACATCCAACTGTCGCTGAAGCTTGGGAATCTTTGAGGAGATCATCGGTTTATTTTCGTGGCCAACCTGTTGGAACCATAGCAGCTTTGGATAATTCTGATGAACAGCTTAATTATGATCAGGTGAAATCCCCATGATTTTGCTACCTTGTTTTATATAATAAGAAATTTTGTGTAATAGGTTACTAACTTACCGCAGATAGAACCATTTTGTTGCAAGTGAGATGGTTGCCATTTTTGTTTGATCGTTCTCTTGACAACTTTGATTTGTTTGTATTTGGGGGATATTTATTTTCTTTCCATTCTGCCTTTTGATTGTCACTGTGTCTATAAAGTCAACATTTTCCCCCCTCCTTCTTTTTTCCATATATGTATCTGATATTATAACATGAGGATGACTGTCTTGCATGTTTCTGATATTATAACGTGGGAACGACAATCTTGCGTTTGTGATTGGCGTTATGGAATCTTGTGGGCCTTAAAGTTTGTACGTTAACGTGGTTTCTTTATTTACGTAGGTGTTTGTAAGAGATTTTGTCCCAAGTGCATTGGCTTTTCTGATGAATGGGGAACCTGAAATAGTCAAGAATTTCATCTTGAAGACTCTTCGCCTTCAATCATGGGAGAAAAAGATCGACAGATTCCAGCTTGGAGAAGGAGTAATGCCTGCAAGTTTTAAAGTACTCCACGATCCTGTCAAGAACAGTGAGACTTTGATGGCAGATTTTGGTGAGAGTGCAATAGGAAGAGTGGCTCCTGTTGATTCTGGATTTTGGTGGATTTTCTTACTTCGAGCATACACCAAGTCCACAGGCGACACATCATTGGCTGAAAAGCCAGAATGTCAGAAGGGTATGCGCCTAATTTTGAGTTTATGCCTTTCAGAGGGGTTTGACACATTCCCAACTCTTCTTTGCGCCGATGGATGCTGCATGATTGATCGTAGAATGGTGAGTTCGTTGGTTACAAACGAGGCATTTCTTATTTATTTATCTGCTTGGACTATAATTAATGTGGTGCTCATTGCTATGATCATCCTTTGCTTATTTTTCAAATCATGTATCATGTCTTTGGTTATATATCTTTCAGGGTGTGTATGGTTATCCCATTGAAATTCAAGCACTTTTCTTCATGGCTTTAAGATGTGCGTTGCTTTTACTGAAGCAAGATGAGGAGGGGAATGAGTTTGTAGAACGGATTACTAAACGCCTTCATGCCTTAAGTTTTCACATGAGGAGTTATTATTGGATTGACTTGAAACAGCTTAATGATATATATCGCTATAAAACAGAGGAATACTCTCATACTGCTGTGAACAAGTTTAATGTAATACCTGATTCTCTTCCAGAATGGATTTTTGATTTTATGCCAGTCCGTGGTGGTTACTTCATTGGAAATGTTAGTCCCGCAAGAATGGACTTCCGTTGGTTTTGCTTGGGTAATTGTATTGCAATTCTGTCATCCTTGGCAACCCCTGAACAATCAACAGCAATAATGGATCTTATAGAATCACGATGGGAGGAATTGGTTGGAGAAATGCCACTCAAGGTAATCTATCCAGCGATAGAGAGTCATGAATGGCGGAATGTTACAGGATGTGATCCCAAAAACACCAGATGGAGTTACCACAATGGAGGATCCTGGCCAGGTATGCATTTTCCTTAGCATAACAAATTCATAATGCATTTTATAAAATGAAGCTCAAAATGATTAACTTTTGTTGCTATGCTGTGGCTTTGCTTGGATTTTTATTGAATCAGTATTTATATTATTTTTGCCCCGATGAAATGCTGAAAAAAACATATGAAGCCAGAGTTTCATGTTGTTATCAGCTGAAAAAAATAAAAGAAAGCTTTATAAGTGCCGCAACTTTTGGAAGTACATTGTTGGAAAATCTGATCTTGCTTATGCATCATGTAAACTTACGAGCTTTAACTATTTTTTGTGCAATTTTTCATGAGTTTTGGCCTTAGATTAAAAGATTAGTTAGTATATTCGGCGTCTATGGTATTAAAGCCTGTTCACACCATTTATATACCTGCTTAAAATCTTCATTGTTTTTATGTACTTCCTTACCGAGATTATCTTTGAGACATTTTGGCTATTGCAATGGATCCAGTGCTTTTGTGGCTTCTCACCGCTGCATGCATCAAGACTGGACGCCCCCAAATTGCAAGACGTGCTATCGAGCTTGCTGAAACAAGATTAATGAAAGACAGCTGGCCGGAATATTACGATGGGAAGCTTGGTCGATACGTTGGGAAACAGGCTCGTAAATTCCAAACCTGGTCCATTGCAGGTTACTTGGTGGCAAAAATGTTGTTGGAAGACCCTTCCCATTTGGGTATGGTGGCACTCGAAGAAGACAAACAAATGAAGCCTCTCATTAGAAGATCAAATTCATGGACATTCTGATGCTAATCCCATCTATTTCAGATGTGTTAAACCCCTTCGTTTGTAGCTTCCCACCCAGTTCAAGTTCCTATTTAGATTGAAACAGAATTTTGATCATCCCTTCTTCCTTTTCATTTGTTCAATGCCAGAATAGTTTTTCCATCTTTCCTTAATAGCTCTATGCGATTCTTAATCAATCTTAATCCTTCACGTTTCCTATTATTTTAGTTCCTGGTTTTAACATATAGACTAGTCATTGTCATGTGAAGCCTGATTTGGTAGAAAATTTATGTGTAGGGTCCAAAGTGATTTGCTACGTTTTTGGGTCACCGTTAGATGTGGACATAAACTCCTTGATGTACACGGTATGTCGTTCCAGACATTGACTTGTTTTTGTGATTCCATTACCACTTTTTCCAAAATTGACACGACAATTATGAGTGGGGAAGTATTTATCAAAACAACTAAATAAGTAAGTGGGGGCATATATTCCGTGGTTATGCAGAATTGCTGATTTGATTTGGCTGTAAAAATCCAACGTACAAAATGAATTTTCTTTTCCAAATTTCTTAGCTAATATTGTGCATCACAAACCCTTTCTCATTTAATGAAGCTTACAAAAATTAATTCACACCATTCAGAAAATAAAGTCCACCTTCAAAAGGGACTGGGGAAAAAAAAAAAAACCTTGACCAACCTTCACAACCAAACAAAAAACAGAGAAAAAGAAAAAGAATCGTTTACTCTCGTATGGATTTCCTTTCGGATCCGGACTTCTCGAACCCGTATTCAAAACCCACTGTCCGATTTGAAAGCAGCCATTGTTTGTGTTGTTTTTGTCTTTTCCTTTTCCCCATAGAAATCGCAGCGCAGGTGGTCCACAAGTTTGAGCTATTTAATTAAATCGACTTTTCTATTTTAGTTTTGATCAAATTGAAACCTCCTTTTTAAATTTATTAATAATCTAGTCCTTCCATGTGGAATCATTGGCCTCCACCTAATGCACATTAGTTGGGTAAAGTGAATTAGCCAAATTCTAAAGGAAATAACCAAGAATGAGTAAGTGATCATATAGCACTTGTATCCATTTTAGCATTTTCGAGTTTTTTCCTATATATATCAATTTTTATTTTTTTATTAAATAGTTGAGTTGTTTGACATTATCAAAAAATCAAATATTCATATTTAATGAAATTAATTTTTCTATTTGTTTTTTTTAATTAAATTGAGATCGTTATTTTTAATCTATTAATAACGAGTTCTTGTGCCATGGAAATCGACTATTACATAACAAAAATGAACTGAATAAAAGAAAATAATCCATTCCAAATTAAAATCTAAAGCATACTGCAGTATTAAAAAAAAAAAAAAAAAAACTAAAATATAGACTTTTACTAAAGGTCAAATAGCTATTGAAATAAAAGATTTCATCATTTACAAGTTAGAATTTTTAAATTTTGCTTTCGGCTAGTTTTTCTATCAAGTGTTCATTTATGAATTAATGAAATTCCAGGATTTTTTTTACTGGTCATTCTTGTGCCAAAAATTTGTCCACTTTTTGGCTTGAAATCACCTACATTACATCTCAAAAGTTGTTTAATGGTCAAACATTATTTTAAACTCAAGATTATCAAACTTAAAAATTTTAAATTTTAAATTAAATTTTCTTATGCGTTTATAACTTCAATACCACGGTAATTGAAAATAAAAATAATGTTAAAATATTGCAAATTTTGTAGGTGAAAATAATAAATTTAAATGATTAGAAATGCAAGAGAGTTTGGATGAAAATCTAATAAGATTGGCTGGGAAAATTATGAAGAATTTAAGTCAGCGAATAATCAAAATTTTAGTTAAAAAAAAAATTATTGCATGAATCAATAGAAAACGAAGGTTAGTACGTGCTAGCTTAAATCAGAATCAGAAAATTTAATTTGACTAAAACTAAAGCATATGGGTTGATTTGATCAATTGTTAAAACTAAAGTGATTGCATTGGTTTCTATTTTCTCTTCAGACAAAAATAATAAATAAGCAAAAGATAACAAAATAAATAAATAAAATTTCAGCAAAAGCCCAATGAAGAAAAATCACCTCCCTATTTCAAATTCCTCTTAAGCCATCAGGCCCTAATTTCCCCTCAATTTCCATAACTTTCTCAGGAAAATCAAGTCGAATTGCACGATGAGGCCACCGAGGAGAACGATCCAAATGGTAATAACATGGGTGCGACGGCAGCCTCCGAAGGTCAAGGCGTTTCTGGCGGTGGTGGCTGGGATGACGGCCCTGGTTTTACTTCGATTCATCGTACACGATCACGATAACCTCTTTGTGGCTGCTGAGGCTGTTCACTCCATTGGAATCTCTGTGCTTATTTATAAGTTAATGAAGGAGAAAACTTGTGCTGGTAATTAAACGGAATCCCAATTTGTAGGCTTTTAATTTTTTTGTTTCGATGGGAGTTATTAATCAGAGAGAAAGTTTTGATTTTTGTGTTAAATTTTCGATTTTTTCTATTGTGCTTCATTGGTTTAATGGTTATTTTTGTTTTTTTAATTAATAGATTGGTTGTTTATTGGAAATTGGTTGAATTAGAGGGAAATTTTGAATGCTTGTGATACATTTCATTTTTTTTTCTGTTGATAAGTGATTTAGTTGTTATGCATTTTTTGTTTATTGGGAATTAGTTGATCATTTTGCTGTTTTGTTTTGATAATTTTTGTTTGGAATTGATGGAATTAGAGAGAGGGTTGGGATTATTGTGCTAATTTGGGTATTCTTTTGTTGTGTTTCAATGATTTTGTGGTTTTATCTTGAGTATTTGAAATAGAAGTTTTGTATTTTTTTCTTGTTCTGCAGATAAATTTGTTTGCTTGATAGGAACTAATGTAATTAGAGAGAAAGTTTGGATTTTTCTGCGGAATTTTGGAAATCATTGTGGTTTAATGATTTTGTGGCTATATCTTTAGTTTTTGGATGCAGAGTTTTAACTTTTGACATTATTTTGAATGTTTTGCAGGGCTATCACTGAAAACTCAGGAGTTGACAGCCATCTTCTTAGCTGTAAGGTTGTACTGCAGCTTTGTAATGGAATATGATATACATACCATACTGGATTTAGCTACGTTGGCGACAACCCTGTGGGTTATTTATATGATCCGTTTTAAACTGAAGTCAAGTTACATGGAAGATAAGGACAACTTTGCATTATATTATGTGGTGAGTATTTGATTAACTCTGCTGTTTTTTTAATGTATCTATGCCTCTGGTTTCTTAATAGGAAAGACCTTTAAGTTTTTCAGTTACAGTTACATTAGTTTGTCCTAATGTCAGTTTATATGTAAAGGCATTTATGGCAAGTTTAGTGCTTCTTTCACCTGGGGATGAATGCCACCTTGTTCGCAAGCTGAGCTTAGGGTTTATCGTTATCGAGAAAATGTCTTTAGCAGTCAATTCTTTTCTTTCTTAACGTACCTGTTTTATGGAACTTTGTGGATTTTTTTAGGCATCCTGAGCCCTTTTGTGTACATCCCTTCAGTTGTGAACTTATATGTGTATAGTAGAATTAGTATAATGTTTTTCTCTTCTTAAATTTTATGCCCATCAATATTGACTATTTAATTGTAATGTCTCCTTTATAAGCGCCCCCACCCTGCCAAAAAAAAAAAAAAAAAAGCATAACCTTCTTGTTTGTTTGTTCTTGTTCTTTTCGAATCACTTACTCCATGGCAATGACATACTCCTCATGCTACTCCCACAAATTTGTGGATGCAACTAAGGTTGTTGCTGCATAGTTTTTTTGGCTTTCAAGTACAAATTCCTTCTTTCGTGCTTTGCAAGTTCTCTTTCTCTCTGTGGAATGAATGAGGAATATTTATTACTCGTTAATGAGGATACCCTTTATTTTTACCCTTCTATTGAATTGAATGCAGGCGGCACCCTGTTTTGTTTTGGCTTTGCTTATTCATCCATCAACATCTCATCATCTACTAAACCGGATCCTCTGGGCATTCTGTGTATACCTGGAAGCTGTTTCTGTGCTTCCTCAGCTAAGGGTCATGCAAAACACAAAGGTTTGGTGCTTTGGTTTCATAATCTAGAAAGTATTAGTTTAGGAGGTTTTCAAATTGAAAGTTGAAACTCACATCTTTTTTCCCTCCACTTTTAGATCGTTGAGCCCTTCACTGCTCATTATGTATTTGCATTGGGTGTCGCAAGGTTTTTGAGCTGTGCCCATTGGGTTCTCCAGGTTTGTTCTCGCAGATCTGAATCTTTGTGTAGTTGCTCTTAGAATGTGTTCTGATGGGGATATATGAAATTTCTGAACCAGACAGGCTAAGCATATTAGATCAGAGGGCTTTTTGAAAATTTCTGAGCTGGGGATTTGGGGTGGGTGGTTGACTCGTTTGGTGCTCTGCCAGTGGTTTGTGTTTGGTCTTTTTCTGCTTTTATTGCTACTTCTAAATGCGATTGATGCTTTCAGATAGCTAGCTACTCAGTGAAATGATTTCAGTGTTATAAGAGCTTTGTTTTGTGTATGCAAACAAAATGTGGAACATTGCTGTCTCAGACAGACTTTACAAAACCTGCATATTGTTTATTGTGATAAAAATAATCAATTTACTCAAGGATTGAGTAGTGGTTATCAATGATACTGGAATTATCAGAGATTCTCTTTTGCCATCCCATATGCTATTGTTATAGTTGATCTTGCCAACCTGAAACTAACACAGTTTTTGTAGGAGTCACTTCAAGAAATTTACAAATGCACTTCATTTTTTCTAAAAAGACATACTTGATATCATTTCCTCCTGTTCGTTGGCTGATACAGATTTTTCCATCAAAATATGAACTGATTAGAGCTGCAATTACCATTAAAGCCTCTTTTTTTTTTAACAGGTTTTAGATACTCGTGGACAATTGTTGGTAGCCTTGGGGTATGGATTATGGCCTTCTATGGTTCTTATCTCAGAAATCGTCCAGACTTTCATCTTAGCAGATTTCTGTTATTATTATGTGAAAAGGTTTGTTAATGTTCGAATGTCAATTCTTTTACCTGAAGAGCATTTGAAACATCAGTGCACAATTTTTATCACAACAGATCTGATTTTCATTTTTTTGCAGTGTATTTGGAGGCCAGCTTGTTCTCCGTCTTCCCTCTGGAGTGGTGTAACTGAAGTCCTTTTCTGGAGTGGTCCATGAGCAACCTTGCCACCTAAAATTGACTTTGGCAATGCTGTTGAAATCTGTTTGTTTCTCCACACCGTTAAGGTTCTCTTTCAAATCACGACTGGAGAAAAGTGGGTTCACTTGTAAAGTTGGGGATGCAGAAACTTGGTTGGATATTTGTACTTAATACTAATTAATTTGTCGCTGGTAATCTTCTTTTTTTGTTCAGATTGTGAGAGGTGATGCGAATCTAGTTACCTTTTGTGAGGTGCTTACTTTTTTCCCAATCAAAAACAATACAGGAGCCTGTCTTGAGCAGGTTAAGTGAGGTTTTGGTAAATAGTTAAAACGAATTTATGGAGCTATCAAGTTACATGAAGGACAGTTTTTGGCTAAGAAAATGCGACGAGACATTTTTTTGCCACAACTGTAGGAGAACCAAGTTATTATGAAACTCGACATCACAACATCATATTTAGATAGCTAGGTTTCTCGCAAGAATTCCCTCGAAGGTAATTCCGGGTCCAAAAGCCAGTATCAGGCCCCAATCACAACTTGCAGTACCCTCTTTCATCTTCCTGCTTTCTTCTATCATGTACTCCAGCACATAAACAATGGTGTTGCTGCTAGCATTGCCATAGTCCATTAGAGCTCTTCTGCTAGCATTTAGTTTGTCAGGAAGCAAATCAAGTCTCTTTTCTATCCGATTCAAGATTGCAGGGCCTCCTGGATGGACTGCCCAAAACATCTTGTTGTAATCCTTGTCAGTCAGTCCAGCAACTCCTGCCAACTTGTGACAGAATCCTTCAATGTTATCTTCAATTATTTGAGGAAGCTCCCTTGCTAGCTTGAAGCTGATGCCCTCTTCCGTTAGCCTGCCATCAATAGTCTTTTCAGTGTTCGGCAAGAAATTCTGGATCGCCGTGTGAAGCTCAAAGAGAGGACTTTCAGTGACTGGAACTGGATCTGTGCCTATTATCATGGCTCCGGCACCGTCGCCAAAGAGTGCAACCCCAACTAGATCATATGGTCTATCTGCACTTGGTGGTTTGAACCCGATAATAGTAGTTTCAGTAGTAGCCAGCAAAACTCTACTTCCAGGATTGTTCTCAGCGATATCCTTGGCAACGCGAAGGCCAGCCACACCTCCAGAGCAGCCTGCGAAGTATAGCATAACACGCTGCGTTTCAGGGCTAAGTCCAAGACCTCCTGCCAGGTAAAGGTCGCCACCTGGTAGTCTAGCTTCACTTGAGGAAACATAGACTAAGTGAGTTATATCAGATACAGGCCTGCCCCATTTGTTGATGCAAGCCCGTGAAGCTTCAATAGCCATCTTTGTAACAGCGTCGTTACAGATATCCAATCGCTGCTTGATAGTAGGAAGGCCTTCCATGGCAAGTTCAGGGTATTCCTTTAGTATCTCATCTGACATGACCACGTACCTAGTTTTCACGGTTGTTGTTTTGCCTGCAAGTTTCCATGAAGTGAAAATGAGAGTTTTTTCAGTTAGAAGAATGCATATAACCTAATCAAAATATTGTAGGGAGTTTCATCTCTCCTACTAGATTGGCATTGTCCTTCATGTCCTCTCCTTTCTAGATTCAAAGGACTGGCATGCATTCACTAGTAGTTAACTGGATGTGAAAAACTAACGAGAGAAAAGTTAGCAGTTCATTACAGAGTCGAGTTAGCTTCTGCTTGAGCTCTGGATCATCACAATTGGTGTTTTTGAAATACCCATCAACCAGAAACTCTTGCATGACTAGCTGGTTAGGGAATGCCTTGCCAAGAGCCAGAATTGTAGCTTTGCCAGGGTTGGCCTTCATTGTCAAGCCTCCTTGTTCGATCTGTTTGCTCCCCATGTTATCGATGCTGGAAGAGATGTTGGCAAGCTGAGATAAGATGTTATACAGACCCCTGCACTTACCTATAGAGGAAAGGCAGGAGTCTCATTTATACAGCTGCATTCTACGTTGAAGATATTAAAATAAGGTTAACGGGATAATTGTATTTACATTCATACAGAGTGATGCATAAATCTGCATTCTTTATACAGGGTAAAGGCAGTAGTTGAGAAACAAGGCTTTCATGCAGATAACGTTTAAAGATCTTGGTTGATATTTGGTGCTGGGCTTGCAAATTGCTGCATAATGTTGTGCTTGCTTATAATCTAAGTATGCAGCCCCATATCCATGCATAATTTCACTTTTTTTAAAAAAACTAGGCTTTCATGCAGAGTAATGTGAAATCTAAATATCACAACATCGTAATTGAAGCAATGGAGAGTTGAACTTCAACCTTCCCTCACACCATTCAATACAAGCCAGATACCAATTCATCTTCAAGGAGCACCTGATTCGGATATCTAACTACTTGGTTCAAAGCATAATATATATAATGGAGAATTTCCCTGTTCATGCTTGAAACTAAGGTTTCCGCAACAATAAGGCTAACAAGTTAAAATAAAAATTCGAGTTCGCAGGAATACTTGAAGATCACAGGTGGGCATCAAATAGAAATTAGCCAACGAATTGCAAGCTAAGATAGCTCAAATCATAGAAGTCTGAAATTTTCGTGACAAGAAAAACCAAACCACGAATATGTTTAAGTAAATGTCTCTCCATAGCAAGGATAATATCCTTGAAAAATTCAAAGTGCTAGTTCAAGCGACTGAACATCGGCAATCTGTCATAGCATATTTTTTTCATTGAAACTAAGAGAACTGCCAAACTATAGAAATACATATCGGACAGCGATAGAGATTATCAGACCAAGTTCGATAATACCATTTTTTGTTGTTATAGGAAGCTTCCCAGCTACAACCATCACACAAAAGAAGAAAGACCCACACATTCCTTAGAACCAGATATGCGTTCAAAGTGTCAGGTTAAATAAATAATAATCAGCATATCACCTTTTTAGCTGCTTAATGGTATACCTACTCAAACTATGTTGTTGGTACCAATGCTTGAACCTTGGTCAACCGGTTGGAAATATAAAACCAAACCACCGGACCTAGGAGCATTGGTCCTACTCAAACTATGAACTACAGCGATTTTAAGCTAAATATCACATGTTCTCAAACATATATTGTATCTCGTGGAACAATGGTTCATTTGATACTTCCTCACATAGTCACGTGTATCTTCAAAGAAATCAGGCAGTGAAGGTCACATCATTTCAAAGTTCATAGAGACACTTTCCGCTGATGAAATCAACCACTTTGGTAACTGCCTGGTCAAGTGCAGCCGTCACCGCAGCCAGATTCTGCAAGAACTCCTCTGCAGTTGGCTTGTCACCATCCACTATGTCAGTCACAGCTTTTACGAATATTGCAGGGACTTTCAAAAGATCAGCCACATAAGCAACAGAGGCTCCCTGAAACCAAAAATATCAATATATATCAGGAACCGAAGAAACATATAAAATTTCGGAATGAAAATGGTATTTTCAGTTAATCTGTCATCCCCCCTATCATATAAAGTGAGAAAGCTAGGAAGCTGCACTAAACGGATGATAACATAGTTGCAAGAAATTCCTAGTGCTGGAGAAACCCAAAACTGCATTTTGGAACAACTAATAGATGAAAATCCTGGGGACATAGCTCAAGAAGAAATGGAATTCAAGTTTAATATGCATAAAGGCATTTGAGATGCTGTTGAAGATTCATCAGAGCTTATAAAAGGAGATCACGTTCAAGGCAACCTGTAAGTCATGCATTTTTGGTAACACTAACACTCCCATCATTTGGATAAACTCCATTTGCTGAATACAAGTGAAGTCAGGTACTTAGACATGTTTTATGACTAATCGAAGAATGAAAGGAAACAAGCATTTTCAAAACCGTGCATCTAACTAGAAAGAAAAGAATCTGCCTGCATAAGAGATGGAACAGTGATCTGAGTTTCACAAGAATTTTAGTATAGGAAACACCTGCAGACAAACATCTGACACATGGCTATACAGGAAGGGTTGAAATTTTCATTCATGTTTTCTTCTATGACCTTTCATGTCAAAAAATAAGCAAATGACATGATTAGTATGTCAACACCTGATCATTGCAGGTTAAGTCTTAAGTGTGCACCAAGCAATCAATAAAAGATCTTGTAGTCAATTAACCCACTTCATTGGAGGACGGGGATTTTTCAACCCCTATGTTATCGGGAAGGGATTCAACGTTACCTCCATGTCTTTAACTGAAGCATCATTTGCAACAATTGACGCTTCGTCTTGTGGGGACATATCCAGAGAGTCTCCAGTGGATAATTTCCCAGTCTGAAACATGAACATGTGTTAAAAATTTTGAAGGTCACTGGAGGCATCCAGATGAAACAATACAAAAAATCTCCATATCATGCAGTTGGCAAATATTCAGCATAGACTATTTACATGCGCCTGTCAAACACAACTTCAACCATTCACTGCCATTAGTTACAGATGATTCTGAACCACTTCAGAAAAATCAACCTTGCCATTTGAAGCAGAAGGCAGGACAAGTTTAACTTCAAAGCAATGGACAAAGTAGTAAAGCTTCATCATTGGCAGCGTATGCAATATGTGGGTGCACAAAGAAAACTATATACTACTTCCTGGAGTTTATTGATGAGTCGATATTGGATCATTAGCCATGCTCGAAATGTTAAGAACCTAATTTTGTGAAGTTCTCCAGTCAAATCCCACTAAAACGTTGTTTCTTTCTCCATAAAACAAAACTATTATTAGAGCTCTGTAAGCAATAAACAATTTACTTATTGGCAACCTTAGGATTATTTGGACTCAATCTCAGAACTGGCAAGAGCCTACCAGTGTTGACAAGCTGAAAAATACTCCAAAAAGAAAGCATCCAGCATGTCTATATAAGTATGAGAATGTCAATAGAAATCACCTTTAGGTTAAGCTCCTTCAAGAGATTAGGTGTTGAGAAGGAGTGCCTCAAACCAACTCCATAGAGATCAAAAACCTACCAGGAAAAACGAAAGCAGAGGCAGAAAAAGATTAGGCACAGTAGTGCTACTTAAGAAGCCAGTACAAGCGAAGGAAATTATCATTTATAAAGCAGAATTAAAAATCATAAACCTAAGCTAACCATTTGCAAGGGATTTGTATGTGCTTTCGTAGTTTTGTTTGAATTTTTTTCGCTTTGAAAACCGGAGCTCATGAGGACTTCCAGTGACTTTTAGCATCACACAACTTTACTTCTAGATTGTAGGTTTCACTATAAAAATAAGTAGTTTATCTTGATCATAGAATATTATGAATAAAATGAGCAATTGGTTTTGATAATGGCCTTCAAATTTAGGTTTTGGCAATCAGAAAGTCCTATATAGAGCAGACTTACAAAACAAATTTCAGGTTCCTGTGCCTTATCACAGATAACAAGGGAAAAAAGGAAAATGTAAGTAACACTTACAGGAATAGGGATTCTTCTGTCATGGAAAGCAACATCAGATACAAGAAACACATCACCAATGGATGCTCCTTTGACCTGGAAGCCTCCATCAATCAGCATTTGATAGACATTTAAAAGAAAATGTATTTTCATATTAATATTCCAAATGGCTGCCAGTAGTTTACAGCTTTCATAAAAGGCTAGCAAATAATCGAATTGGCAGTTAAGAAAACAGACGGCTGGTGTGATATTGAAACCAAAAAGTGAAAAAAAAGAAAAGAAAAAGAAACTTGCTGAAGTGGAAGAAAAAACATTCTTAAAAGCGGAGAATTAAATGAAAATGGAATCCCAGAGGACCAGTAACATTTTGAAACTAGTTAAATCTGCAGTTCAAACAACAGAGGGAAGAGCATACCTTAAAGCCACCAGCAGTGCCTGCATTGATAATTAAGTCTGGCTGTAATGCTTGGACAGCAGCATAGGTCACAAGAGATGCAGAAACTGTGCCTACACTATCAACCCCTGAAAAGACATGGTTTAAGAAATATTACAAAGATTTGTAATAGGAACCTAGAGATAAAAGAACATCTATTCCTTGACACCCCATTAGCTATCGTATGACAACAGGGAACTTGAATGCATATCCCATATCCATGTGCAAAACAAATGAATCCAAGAATTGGCACCAGATATGCCTTGGAATCAGCAAATTTGATGGAGGTGGAAGTTTATAGTTCTAAGGGATGAAGTACATAACAGCCTGAATATAAACTTTCAAAACATGAATATTTGATAAGCACATTATCCTAGTATCATGGACATGCAACTAAGACAGAACTGATGCTTTAAACATGATTAAAAAGGAAAATAATAAAGAAAACAACTTCCAGCAGCCAAAAAAGTTACCCAGAGTTGAATCCTTTCCAGGCCATACTAAGTTGATGTGGAGATCTTTGTAAACACCATGATATCTGACCCAAGGCACCCCTTTCGGAAACCTGAACCATCATTCTTTGGCACATAAGAGTTGACCCCAATTAAGCAACATGTATTATATGGTATCAAATAGAAAAAAAAAAGCCCGTGACTTTTTCACAAACTTAAATACCAAATAAAAATTCCTTCATCTGCGTGCATATCTATCAGAATAAGCACAAAGTAAGAGGTAACAACATACAAACAATGAAAAATTAGGAACTTCTAGCATCTAGTTTTCTCCGGTAAATAAATAAGTTCCGAAAGCAAACGTGTGAGTTCAACTAACAATCAAACTTAAAATAAAAACCTTTCAAGCCAAAAAAAAAAAAAAAAAAGGCAAAAAATAATGACCCCACAGAATTAAAAAGGATTTTTTACTGTTAAATAGAGCCAGACTTCATCTAGCGAATAAAAAGTGAATTATCCATATCACTTAGCAAAAAGAAAAAGGACAGAACTTTCAGTGTTTGATTCATTGAAATTCAACAAAAACATTCCTGGATCTGGTAATCTATCATATACCAAAATTACTGATTGTACTTGATTCTTTTAACAAATAATCGAACTAAAAAAAAATTAAAAAAATGAAAGTTGCACAAGAAAACAACATAAAAAAATGATCCTTTAACTATTTCATTACCCACAAACAACAGTAAAGTACAAACACAGAAAGATAACGCAACTATGTCAGTCACTAAAATGAATAGAACCATCTTTACAATCAATCAATCACAACAACCCACAATCAAATCAAACACAATAATATTAAAAACCCATTTACAAAATGAACAAACAGAGAAAGAAAATATCAACTCACACAGAATCAAGGTCTTCTTTGAGCTGAAACCTGTTAACAACAGGCATGGCTTCTGTTTGCATAGCTATTGCACACAAAATAAATAAAAAACACATAAACAAATGAATAAAAAGAAACCCAGATATATAAACACGAGATAGAGAAAGAGAAGTAAGGGACCGATGAGGATGAGGATGGAGGAAATGGGTTTGCGGTTCTCATCCTGAACAACCATGGCTTCCTCCGATCCCTCACCATGAGGAGCCATAGCTGTGTGATTGGTAGGTCTCTCTGTGCGAATAGGAAAAGCAAAACGAGAAATTCTATTAGTATGTAAGGGAAAGTGACGACAGTGTTTATTTATTTATTGGTTGTTTTATAGGATAATCGAGCTAACAAACACATAACCGGCGAGAAAAAGTGCGCAACCATATAATTCTTTTCGTGTTTTTTATCCTTGGCCCTGTAGCACGGACCTGGGCAGTTTTTTCTTTCCATACCACATAATTCTTTACATATTAATTGCCACACCAATTAACCTTGTCTTTTTTTTAATGTTCGGAAATTACTTCCGAAAATATGAAATAAATATTATAAGATATGAAGTAGATTTTTTTTATTGAATTTACGTGTGCCGACATTATTTGTTTTTGTAGTTTTTTAATTTCATGGAGAGAAGGCTTTTTTTTTTTAATGGCCACTTGCTAAAAAAAATACAATTTTTTCAATGTTCTTAAGCTCATACTTTTTTTTTTTTAACGACAATGTTATTTTTAGATTCACACTCTAAATAATAACATCAAAATTAGAAAATATAATTACTTAATTATTAATGGATTGTTGAATACGATAATGAAAAAATCCATGTATTGTATCTATTTGATTTATCACGTCTCTCTCTTATTATTTAGATTTATTATATATTTTTATTGTATTTTTTTATTTTATAATGTCATTCCGTTGTGTAATAAACTAATTATGGTTAATGTTATGCACGTAGTTCCAATCAGATTGTCACATATCAAAATATGAATTTTAATTCTTTTTTTTTATTGTCAATTGACACAAAATATTAAAATAAAATAAAAACTCAAAAACCAAAATATTAAACCGTATTATTTTTTAAATATTTGTTATTTGAAAATAATAATAAAAAATTGAAATTCAAAATTTGAGGCGGGGAAACCTGATTGAATGCTACATATCCAGTACTAACTATTGTTAGCATGCTACAACCGAATAAAACAATAGATTAAGAAAATATTATGGCGAGACATAATAAATTAAAATAATAGGAGATAAACAAATCGAATAAAATCAATATAGTAAAATGATATTTTCATGTTTTATAACATCTACAATTGGATTAAAAGAGAGAGAGAGAGAGAGAGAGAAGCAAGTTTAAGGCAATTTTGTGAAGAAAAAACTGTTTGAATAAAGAGTAAGATTAAGATAAATACAAATCAAATTAAAAAGGATTGAGTTTCCATAGATTTTTAAACTATATCCTATGGATGGGCAAAACATAAGTTACAGGTCACTGTGTTATTTATTTATTTATTTTTTACTATCCACTTCTTTTTTTATTATTATTTTTTAGCAACCTACCCTTGCATGTCTTTTTTGCAGGAAGACGCGACAAGTTTCAAACCTTTTGGAGAAAAAAATCTACAATAAAAATGAGAACAAAGATTGTAATATGAACCAGGGATATGCTGTGGGGACTTTCACAAAAAGGATAAAAAAAAGATGTGGAGTTTCATTAACAAAAAAAAAAAAATTGATGTGGGGGGGCAAAATATGTGGTAACCGCACATTTGTTAAAATTAAATTATTGTCTTGTAACTAAAATACTTTTATATTATTTAAGAGAATTATTTTGAACAAAAAAAATTTAATTATTTAAATAAATGATTTTGAGTTCGTATCTTCATATATTTAGAAAAATCTTTAAATAATTACGTTGATTTTGTATCCTCGTCTAATAGTGAGGTATCAATATACGCTTTTTAAATTGAAATACTTTCAAAAGTAAAAAAAAATGCTATATTTTTCTCGATGACAACAAAATGACTTTTTTTAAGGCATAAACTTCGCATATTTAAGAGATGTCATATCTTTGGGCATGGCATTATCATAAGCATGATTTATTGCAAGTCACATGGTCCCATTATTCGGAGAGTCAACCAGATTCGTGTTTTCTTGTAGGATTTTCTTTCTTGGAGTGCACTTCTTTCGAGAACTAGAGACTTCGTAAATTATGATTTCTTTGGGAAGTCATGCTTAAGATACCACATCATGATGGGCAGCATTCGGTCAACCCAATTTTACTGCAGATTGGGGTTAATTATTCTTTAGTCCCTGTTTTTTAACCTAATTATAACTTTATCGTATTTGATAATCTTTAACTTAACCTCTTGCTTCTTGTTGATCATTTTTTAAGTAAAACCCTTTAATTTTTCTCTGAACTCCCACTATATCGGTTTCACTCTAAGAGTTTAATTTTTTAACAAAACATTTGAAGTTAAGAAAAGAGGGGACAAATGTTTTTACAAGTTAATGGTCAACAAAAGTCAAGTGAAGGGGATAAGTTAAAAGCTACTAAACATGAAGGATTAAATTGTAATTAGATTCCAAGATTAGTAATATTATTCTACATATTTTTATAGTGAAGTCGACAAGCAATGATAGAGTTCGAAGTCCAAGTTGCCCGTCTCCATGCGTCTCCGTCGATCACTGACGGCAATCATAGAAGAATCAAATAGGGGCACGCTCCAGGCTACAACGACAGCTCTTTCGTGAAGTAGGGACAAAAAATTATTTTATTGATTAATCTTATTTAAGGAATCGCATTAAATTTTCTAGGCATGTGGCCTAGTCATGCAAGGCAGAGCAGTTCATGTTTGTCTTGAAAACCAAAAAAAAATCTTTTTTGAAAAAAAGTATAAGTCATGCTTAGATGGCTTGATAAATTATTAGTGCTCCCTTTAGTCAGGAAAACGATTCCGTGAATCCATGTTGATGGTTGGCAGAATATTTGATTAATATAGTGCATAAAAAGACAAACCTCTCCTCAGCTTTCGTTTGATTAGAAATTAAATTTTGAATTTGATTATTTTAAATTTTATTTTTTCTTGGATTTAGTTTTTTTTTTTTTTTTTTTAAGACAAAATATAATAATTACGTAAATAGTTTAATGATGAAAATCATTTATTGAGGTTTATCCACAACTCTTCAAAAAAATTTGGAGTACATTCTGAGTTATTTTTTATTTTTTTCTAATTTTTTATATATTTTAATGTTAAAAAAATCAACAAATACACTTTTCAATCTTAAAAAATTCAGTTCTTTTTTTTTTTTTTTTTTGTAAAATATGGATTGGATTTGTTTTTTCATTATGTATAAAATTTCATCTCAAAATATTAATTTTTTTTTAATAGTAGATGAAAATTATAAAATGAATTAAATTTCAAAAAAAAAAGATCATAATAAAAATTAAAAATTAAAAAACTGACTTTCAAATAAACTAAAATTTAGAAAAGTTTAACCTTATAGTACATAAATCCCATCAATTTGGACTAAACCAATAATCATGATGATTTGGTTCTCATAAACCCAATCCGCATAAAGATTACACGTAAAGAGAAATTATTATATGGATTTAGTCTAACATGTAAAATCATAGACCAAACTAGTAAAATTGTTATAAATTATTAAATTTTTTACAAATGATCTATTAAGTAAACCGTAGAATGTTAATATTTTTACATTCAATAGCATAGTCATGATTATAAGACATTTATAAAATGAATCAAACGAATTTAATGATTTGGCAAAATTATGTTGGTTTGGTTCGTAATTCTAGATGATGGACTAGATTCGTAAAATAATTTTTCTTCTGAAAGTATATGAATGCAGTTAGTTTGGTCCTCTTACATCCAGTAGATGATAAATTATTTTTTATTGCAACTAGGATGATTTTCAAAATTCTTTGCAGAAGTTTGTTTTAGTTGAAAATCAATATGTCTTTATATAATAGCATGAGTCTCTAACATGTCTTATGTTTCTTACGTCCCCTTTCGATTAAATTTTTCGATCATTGACAAATTTTTTAACTGAAATACCTTTGATATAAATGCAAAAATAAAAAAAATAAAAAACCAAAAGACTTTAAAAATACATTAGGTGACTTTAATTTTATTTTTTTTGGTATATTAGTCGGAGTTATTTCGGTCAAAAAATTTGATCGAAAAGATAGATTGAAGATTTAAATATTATTCAAAAACATAACGAGATATAATTAGAAATATATGAATAGATTGTAAACTCAAACTATTATATAAGAACGAATTAACCTATTTATCTTAGTTTTAATACGAAAACAAGAATATCAAACTATGCTATGCAATGCATGGTAATAGTAAAAACCTAATTTATGCATAACAAAAATTTTAAATATAAATGAAAGGTCTATCTTAACATACATAAAAAAAGAAAGCAGATAGATTTAATTCAACAAAACAAAATATATAGATTATAATGATAAACTAGAAACATTATTTCTAATTTAAAATGAGCAGATATGAATTCTTAAAAGACAAAACAGCACTAAATTGAGTATTAAATAAAATTTATAAGGGAAAAAAATAAAAAAAATAGATAAAGAGAACATAAATATGAACAATAAGTAGAGTATCTATATAATAACCAATTTATACTATAAAAGAATTATCTAGTTTTATTATCTTTATTATAGGATTTTGTGTTTGATAATAATACGTGTCCAATTAATTTGATTTATAGAAGTTTGTGTTTAATAATAATATTTATGCAATTAATTTGATTGTTAAGCAACCAAGTAAATTTGATATTATTAACTTAAAAAAAAAAAGGACACAAATCCGCACTACTAGAATCAAAATAAATCCCCAAAACGCATCACCAAATAAGCGCGAATTATACCATGCTGGTTGAAGGGATAAGTTAAATCAAACAGTTTGATTTTTGTTTTGATTAGCTTGCGTGCAACTTTTAGCCACGTGCGTAGTTTGTCTGCACAACCACACTTATATATAAATATATACAAAACTAAAAAAAACTAAAAAAAAAACTTCTTTTCTGTTTATTTACTCAGAGAGATTTTCACGGTTTATTTCTTCACATATTACTGTGGATGAGAATGAAAATTATATAATTTTCGTGGCAGTTTTTGGATATTAATTTACGAATTTTATATTACATTTTATTTTGTTCTCTCATATTTTTTAAATCATTTTTTGGTCCCCTACCCCTATACTGTTTCTGCACGACCAGAAGCGCAGCTTGCACTGAGCCTGCTCCTGTAGGCCATGCGAGCAGGCTTGCCTTGGGCTTGCAGAAGCCAGGCACACAAGCCAGCCTCATTTTTATAAATTCATTTTCATTTTTTGTTTTTTATTATTGAATTGGATGTAAAAATTATAAAAAAACCAATCATTATTTTTTCTTATATAAACTGATAATTATGAAATATATACGATATGCTTTTCAGATTTTAATTTTAATTTTCTTTAATTTATATCGAATTATATTACTCTTATTGTTAAAATTAATTTCTTTAATTTATAGTTTCTTATAAAAAAAATCTCATCAAATTAATTTTTATTTTTTATTTTTGATGTAATTTAATTTTTTAATAAATATAATTTATTTTCTCTATGTATGAATTTTTGAATATTGTTTAGTTGTTTTTATTTGCTTATTCTTTATATAATCAAATTTTAAAAATAGAATTTATTTATTTTATTTGCTTATTTTAATATAATAAAATTTTATTAGACTCAATTTTACATTTATTTTAATCGTACTTTATTAAATTTAAAATATTTTTTACAACTTAACTTTTTAAAAAAATTATTTTTCAATTTATGCTACACACTCTTGCCCATTTAATATGACAATAACGTGTGTATATATATATATATATATATATATATATATATATATATATATATATATATATATAAGATTATTGATTTTATTAAAAATTGATTTTATATCTACACACATAACACCAACTATTTACTATTATTTTTTTCATATTTTAAAATTAATCTTTTTTCAAGTAAAATAATTAAAATAATATTTTGAAAGAATTGTCTAATAATTAAAATATAACTTTATATACTAATACTATTCATTATTTTGTGTGTGCATGTATAGATATATATTCAAAATTCTCATTAAAAGTAAACCAGAAAAAAAAATTTATTTATTATTTTGTATATAATTTTTTTATATTAATTGTTGCTTTATTTATTTGATGCAATGATATGGAAAAATTATTAAGATTTTTTTTAAAATTTTATATTTAGATTATTATGGGGTTTTATTTAATAAAGAACAAATCGTGTTTTTTTTTTAATTACAAAATTTATTAAAAATATTTTTAAAAAATAAATATAGAATTTTGATTAAAAAAAAACCTATAAAATTATATGAATTTTTTTTTACTTTAATATATTTAGTTGACGAATAATATATTGTATACTATAAAATTAAAATAAATATATTTACTTGGGCCAAAATATGGCATGGAAGGCCGACTAGTAGGCTACTAAAATTCATTAATATAGAGTTCCGTGAATGATAAATGATTGATGATTACTTCTTCAATTCAATAGCTATTTGTGATTGTTAGCTAACTTTAAGTGCTGAATTTTCCTTGTCAAAGAGCCGGAGGAGAAGAAAGTTCAGTCTGCATAATCAAATGCTTTCCTTATCCTATCCTTGACAAGATATTTGAAGTTAAATGTCATTCTTAGGATTGAGTTGTACAGAAAGAAAATGAAGGAACCTATATGTCGGCTAATATGATTAGACAGTCAACGTTGATGATACCTATGGTGCCTTATGTTACAAAATGACAAGAAAGGACGAAAAACACTAGCAAATCTTGCAATTAGAGATGAGGAATGCTAATGGTGAAATCTTGAAATTGTGCTCATATTTTTCGAGGCAGGAAATAGACTTCCAATTGCTGCAAAATTGCGAGCTTCTTAATTAATATAAAAATAAAAGAAGTCCTGCCTCCTTGGCGGTTAAGCAAATTTTATTAGTCATCCAAAAAGGAAAACGAAAATTCAGCATCCAATCCAAAAAAGTCGGTGCTCGATCGTTACATTAACATTTTCCTCACATTACAATGAATCACTGTTGTACAAAAGGAGGGACCAATTTTATCAGGGCAATCAGAATTCGTGTGTATTCTATGCAAAATTGTACAAGTTCAAACATTCGTCACTCAACATGAAATGAAAAAAACAATGGAAAGGTTAACAGTCATGTTTTGTGTATTGCTGGCATCTGCAAAATTTATTTGTCAGAGACAATTAACCAGTGTTTTGAAAGTCATATAGATTAGAAGCAGGAGGGAAAGATAATGAGGGGGTTTTGTGCGGGAGCTACCGTTTGGTAGCATAGGGTAAGTGTCTGGAAGAGGTATTGCGCACTCCTCGCCGCTGAATAATATTCTTCGAGGAAAGCCCCATCCGTTTCTTAACGTGAACGTGTCTGAATCCTTTTCCAAGAGCACCTCTGTCGTTACCGAGCCCAGTTGCTGCTTATCAGCTTGCAACAGTTCATTATTGTAAGCCTGCAGACCCCAAAAGAGGGCAACCTCAACTGCAAGAACGCCAATTATCACATTAATATTCATGTAATTCATGTAAAATAAGTGAAACCTATTTTTCACATTATTCAACCACCTTTCAATTCCAAGGTAGTCCAAGAAACCATACCAAATTTCCAATGATTGTATCGTTCAGATAATTGCAGCACAATAGATCAATGATTTCCTGAGTTTAAGTTCTGGCTTATCTCAGCCAGATATATAGGTTTTCATTTCTGGACAAAAAAAAGTGCAGCTTAGCTATATTGATTTTCCATACAAAATCTCTTCTCGATGATTTCATGTGTTCGAGTTCATATTTATAATTCGTTATTAAAGAAAAGAGATGAGCAATTTAATAGCAGTAACTACCTTCAAACCCAACAGTAGGGAGCAGTGTACTGTTGAAGCTAAATGTAGTTGATTTCTGCCTCAAACCAGGATGCTGTACTAACACATTCCAGTCTGAGTAATTTCTCTTATAATTGTAGTTAGAGATTGTAATTTTCACTCTCCAGTGATCCATATAATTGTTTTTCACATGCCAATGAACTCTGACTGGGCACATATGATCAGTGCATTGCACTATATCTGCGTTTTTCACATCTGATAGTGGTGAGGAATCACCTTCACTGCTATTAGAGAGAGAGAGAGACGAATTTTATCTACTGGCAAACTGTAGTCTGATGATAAACAGATAACTAGAAAGCTCCTAAAATGGTTCGAACTACTTGCTTTCATGATAAAATTTAGTCAATCACAGAAACGTACCTTATGCATGGAACAGTACTTTGGTTTGCATCTCTGCATCCACAGCTGCACTCAGGGCATGCTGTGATTTTAGGATTATAGAATGCCGAAAGCGAGACACAACAACCGGGTGTTTTGTTTGCCAAAAAAGTGGAGTAAGTGCATGTTGATTTCCACGTTTCTGAAAACAACAAAATCTGTCAATTACTGGTAGTATAGATAAGGGCAAGCACATTCAGGAAATAAAAAAGAATCCTCAAAAGGCAATTCCATAATACCGATCTGTGTCTATCCGCAGAAATATTGTTATCAAGAGTCACAGAGCCATCTTTCGATCTACGTTTAATTTTCTTTGGTAGAAACGTATGGAGCGGAAGCAATATAGAAATGGGAGCGTTCTACATATCAAGTCTATATCAGCAAATTATATAAGCATTTAAGTCTATATTAAACCAGGCTAGATTTTGTAACTGAATAGTATTTGTGTGGAGTACTTACTGTAAACCTGAACTTGTCTTCTACCCCCAATATCGGAAGAGACTGTGGGTTCCGTCTCCAAAACGGGGCCACAACTGTAACCAGGACCTGGTGCCAATAATGTAAGGTTTGCAGGTGGATGGATAGTAGAATTCCCATCCAAGTTAACAACTGTCATTTCAAAGGAGGAGAATGACCTCAGAGGATCAATGGCCCAGGCAGAAAGAAGGCCACCATGGCAGCAATTCTCAGACATGTTCACTGATGGGGAGTCTGGCAAGAGGTCAGCAATGACAGGGTTTGGCATGCAAGAGTGAGCGCCTGGGTACGTCATGGATGAGCATTCGCCTTGCTTGGTGGCGAATGCACCAAACATTGACCAGATGATCTCCTTGTTGGTCCATGACCACCCAATATTCCAACCTGGTTTATCAACATGGCGATACTGATAGTAATTTTGGATAGTTACCCTTGCCTGCAAATTTGATCAGCTAGGAAATCAGGATTCTGGTGTAGTAGCTTCCAGAAATTCTTCTCAATTGCTAATTTTATCCAAGTAAATAAAAATGAGAAGTTCAGGCAACTTTCTTAGACTTGGCATTTTCACTAACACAGACACATATTTATTGGAAGACATTCTGATATGTATATGGGGTTTAAACAACTTAACCATACCAACTACTGGAAATAAAGATAACAAAATTAATTAAACAAAACCACAACTCCATTTCAAAGAAGTTAGGTTCAGCCACAAGAATCCACTTTTGTCCATTTAGTTCGATTTCAAGCTAAGCTTTCTATAAGCTATCATGAGGTCAATTCAAGTTGTTTTTATCCAATTCGTCCATTCAGTTCGATTTCAAACAAACTATGTTCTCAGCTCTTACTCCTTGTTTGTGACACACAGATCATAATGTATATACGAATTCCTATATTAAGAATGTCAGATAAATTATTCATTTAAAAGTTGCATATGGTGTGATGGAATTATTGAAACAAAACCAAATTATGAATAAGCATACTGACCACATATCCATCACTTCTCCGATCATGGACATCGAAAGTAACTGTAACGTTACCATTTGGATCCAAAGGGTCATAGCAATCTGCAAATCAGAGCAATAGTAAGAATAATTTAGCAAGAATCTATTAACATTTTATGAAGCAAACTAAGGAAAGGTTCCATGCCTGATAAATTGCTGATAGAAAGCAGTAATATTAGCATCAACGCAGATGACCGTATGCAAGAAAGAATTATTTCCATCTTTGTTTGCAAGTCAATGAATTCAGGTGGATAAAGGTTGCTAAGATATGGAAAGATACAAAGGTTGTTATAGTTTAACGCATGAGACAAAAAAGGGTCTTCATGAACTACATTAACAAGGAAATTTGGACTTAGTGACATCTAGAGTGTAGTCAGTCACAACAGCATACATGGCAACAAAAAGCAATCATTGGAAATATCAATCGAATATACATATAACTCTTATTATTACTATATATCTGAATGGGGCTTGAACAGTGAGTTTTACTGTTGATCTTTATCTCCTCATAAATCACTATTCATCAATTTTTTTTTTTTTGTAATTTTTAAATTGTTTTATTTTGGTTCCTAAAATTTTAAAAAAGAATTTTAACCCCTTAGCTGGTGCACTATGCATGTTTTTTTTTTTTTTTTTAAGTTTTTTTCTTTGATTTTTCCCATCAATTTATATTTTTTTTATTTAACTGGATGTTAAAATTTTAAAAAATCAATTGTTATTTTTTTTACATAAACTGACAATTATATAATATATACAATATGTTTTTAGATTTTAAAATAAATATATACTATTCTTATTGTTTAAAATTGATCTTTTCAATTTATTATAAAAATTCACATCAAGTTAATTTTTATTCTTATTTTTATTTTAAAATTTAACTATACATCTTCCAACATAATTATTTTTTTCACATAAACTGACGATTATATAATATGTACGATATGTTTTTAGATTTTAGAATAAATATATACTATTCTTATTGTTTAAAATTGATCTTTTCAATTTATTACAAAAATTTACATCAAGTTAATTATTATTATTATTTTTATATTAAAAATTAACTATACATCTTCTAACATAATACAAATTATTTATTTACTATGAATATTTTTTTTTAACATTATAGAACGAATTTATTTGAAATAAAATAATTAAAATAATTTTTTAAAAGAACCAACCAATTATTCAAATATAGTTTTTAATGCTAATTTTATATATTATTTTGTATATGTGTGTGTGTGTGTGTGTGTGTGTATATATATATATCAAATACATATACTTGAAAAAAAAAAAAAATCTTCTCACCAACATTAAATAAGAATTAAATTTTATTTTTTCATTCATTAATTTTTATGCAAGTCTATAAATTAATTGTAACTTTATTTTTTGGATACATTCTTATAAAAGAAATAATTTTAAATTATTTATTTTTTAATTCTTAATTAATATTTCAGGTTTAAATTATTACAAGTTTTTATTTAAGAATCCTTGAATAAAGAAGAATAAATCATTTTATTTAAGTAGAAATTTTATGAAAAACACACAAAAAATAGTTATAATGAAATACAAAAATAATGAAAAAATAATGAAATTTTAAAATGATTTTTTTCTATCTACCTATATTATTGCGAGTATTATTTTAAAAGTTAATCTTCTCATCGGCATTAAATAAGAATTTTTTCTTCATTTGTTAATTTTTGTAAAAGTTTATCCATTAATTATAACTTTATTTTTTTAGAATACAATATTATGAAAATTATATTTTTAATTTTTTTAAATTCTGGATCAATATTTTAGTTAAAATTATTATATATTTTTTTAAAATCAATCCATAAAGAAAAATGATTGATGTCTTTTTAAGTAAAAAATTTATAAAAAACATTAGAAAAAATTAATTAAATAAAAAGTTATAATAATTTTTTTTAATTTTAAAATGATTTTGTTCTACATTACTCGCGAGTGTAGCAAGGACAAACGGCTAGTTATACTATAAATTAAAATAAAATGCTTTTTTACTATAGCATGAACAGTGATCATCACTTTTCATTGCTATCCTTTAGTTTTTTTTTTTTTTTTGCCCAGCACCCTTTGGCTTTTTTGTTCCGTTTACTGTTCATTTGAATAGTAAACGCCTTGCCCCTCCTCTTTTTTTTTTCTTTCTAAACACTCAACGTTCTTTTTTTAATTTTCATCCGTTTACTGTTCACATGAACAGTAAACGACTCCCCCCACCCCTCTTTTTTTTCTTAAACATTGAACAATTTTTTTTTTTTAATTTTCGTTTCTTAATAATGTTGGATGTTAAAATTTTAAATGAACCAACAATTAATTGGATGCTAAAATTTTAAAGGAACCAACAATTTATTTTCCTTATTATTTATTTCTAAAGTTTAAAATATCTAATTTGAAAAAATAATTTTTTTTCAAAAAATGTCTATAAGGACATACTATCACATAACATAATTTATTAATTAAAAATTACTTAAAATGTATTTCTAAAAAAAAAAACATATATTATAATAAAGAATTTTACTAATCATAGTTTGTCATCTATTACTATTTTCATTAATTTGTTGTTTCTTTTAAATTCTCATCCAATTAATTTAAAATTATATTTACTCATAATTTTGATTTATTTTAATATTATTCATTCAATTAATAAAAATTAAATTCACATTTTTTCAAAAATCTATATTCTCATCGACATGAAATAAAAAATAAAATATTTGTTCAATTTTATATAAGCTTTTAGTAATTGTTTTTTTTTTTCGACACAATCTTATAAAATTCTAATTTTTTTTAAAAAATTATTTATTTATTTTTAGTTAATAATCCATTGATTAACAAGGATAAATCCTTTTTGTAAAGAAAAAAATATGAAAAACACAAATAAGAAATAGTTAAATACAAAATTTTTGATTAAAAAATTATAATTATTTTTTTACCTTTGATTTTATATATTGTTATAGATTCACATCATAAAATAAATTATTAAATTAAAATATATTTTTAAAAGATTTTATATATTTTATCCAACTTCGAACATAGCGTTGGTTAAAAATCTAATATATTCTAAACAAACTGGCCGAAGTCTACGGAGGAGGACAAATTTGAAGATTGTTCGTCGTGCTTATAAAGCTACAGATCAACATGAACTTTCGGAAGACACTAAATTGTCTTGTAATGATATTTAGAACTTAAAAAACCTATGTCTTTATATTCCTGGTTCGAAAGTTCAATTCATATTCAAACGAAGATCTGAAAACTCCAGCTTTTATATATCATGAACGTCCGCCAAATGGATAGAATAATTGCAATTGAGATGCCCAAGCTGTACTGTAATACCGTTCGGCTCATGAAACCCTTCTAATCCATTTTGTGGTGTTCATCGCAATTGGGAGATCAGAGGGAGATTCTTTTTATTTAATATTAACTCATCTCCTCTTTTTGGTCGACTTCTATTCTGCACTTGATAACCTATATATGAAGACATAACCTAAAAACCAGTGTTTTGACGACCTGAAACAGCAGTTCAATCCGATGATATTCCCTGATTCTGTAACATCAAACGGTTCTTTAGGGCATATTCGCCAGGATTATCTCTAACCACTGATGGAATCAAGATTAGTGAAACGTATAAAGGTATCTTGGCTGTGTTGTTTACAGCTCAACATTTGACGGTTATTCTATCTGTAAAATAGCGCACAAAGAGAATTTCTCAAACCAGAAACATTGTTCATGAATGAGAGAGTTCTTAGAGCTAACTAGCTAGCAAATTAATTTGTTGAAGTAACAGGAAAACATTTTTTTGAGAATTTAAAAATTCAAAACTTTCTTGCTTGGTATTACTGCTAAGGCTAATTTGTTATAAACTTCCTTCAACTATGGGTCAATAGGAGAAAATCGCTGATTTTTTTTTCCTTAATTTTGATCCCTAATCTTTTTTTATTTGTTATTAAATTATTTTGTCCCATTGACCCTCTCAAGCCACATCAGATGCTCTAGACTCTGAATGCTTGGAGGAGAGAGAGAAGAAGAGAGAGGGAGGTACAGTAAGATCCATTTTAGTCATTTTCATCGACAAACTTGCTATCAATTTATTCATCTTGAAGAGTAATTTATTTATGAGGTTACAAATCATGAAATAGATGGAAGAGATAGATTGAGATTCCAAAATATTTTAAAATTTTGTGTGCATTAAAAATATATTTGAAGGTTCTAAATAAGTTTGTTGACATTATTTTTGTGATTTTGAGATTTAAAAAAACAAAAAACAAAAATGAGATTGAATTTGGCTTTGGACAAACTAGAAATTTAAAAACTCATTTTTTTGATGGTTTTCAATGAATTAAAATTCTCTAGAAATTACAGATGAACTACGTGTCGTCAACTACTTAAAGAGCAAACGACTTGTCTTCCAGTTTCTTTCTTTCTTTCTTTCTAGCTTTTTTTTTTCAATAATTTACTACTATTTTTTTTGTTATGGATTTTTGGAAAAAATTATAGAAGATCAATTTTTTTTTCGATGTTTCTCATGCAATTTCACGATGATGAAATAGATATGATATGTTTCGGATACTTTATCTCATATATTTTTTTAAGAGTTTTGCTTGATAGCATACACTCTCGACCTATTAAGTATAGTCATGATATCTATAAAAATATATATATTAAATCATTAGTTTTATTAAAAGTTAATCATGCATCTACGCACATAACATCAACCATTTGCTATTATTTTTTAATATTATAAAACTACTTTTTTGAAATAAAATAATTGAAATATTTTTTTTGAAAGAATCAACAAATGATTCAAATACAGCTTTTACGCTAACTTTATTGAGTATTTTATGAATAAATATATATAAATCAAATACATATACTTTCAAAAAATAATCTTCTCATCATAATTAAATAAAAATAAAAATTTATTTTTTTATTTGTTAATTTTTATACAAGCTGTTTATACATTAGTTGTAGACTTATTTTTTGAATACAATCTTATGAAAAATATATTTTTAAAGTTTTTGTTTTGAAATTTGAATTAATATTTTAGTTTAAATTATTACAAATTTTTATTTAAGAATCAATGTATAAATAAGAATGAATTGTATTTTTTTAGTAGAAAATTATGAAAAACATAAAAAATAATTAAATATAAAATTTTAAATTAATTTTGTTCTGCTCGAGACGGGCATCAGCTATTGCTAATGCTCGAGAGAAATGAACAAACACTTTGACCAAGGGCCTAAACCATTATAGAAAGGAAAGCTCTTTCCCTATCTTTTGTGCAGTTATGATGTCCAGTGATACAAATACACTTATTTATTTATTCATTCACTTCTGCCACTCATCTATCCTGTTCGCTTTCTAGTTGCTGCAGGCCTAGAACTTCAACTATTAAATTTATTGCCAACATTTGCGGTTGAGGACTTAATCTTTTAAATACTAGCTGTTTGACGCTGATTGACTGTCACAACAGAAGATTACTCGACACTGAGAATTACACTTTCCAAACTTATCAGGCAATTGAAACCAGAAGCAACTACTTAAGTTTATGTACAAAAATTCAGTCCACCAAATATCAAGACTACAAATACCAATACCATCATTTAACATTGTAAGGATGGTAATAGATCGGATATAAAATAAAAATTCATCTTACCGGATTCAATAAAGATTCATTAAAAATATCTAATAGATATTGACATAGGTAAAGAGTAAAAAAATGCATTTCCACTAATATAATGTCGGGATATAGGTACTCATTCTTTATCCTATTAATAACTTCTAATTTATTTAGATTTTTTTTATTAACATGTAGGGATCTAATTATATAAAATTTAAAAAATTAAGGATTAAAATATTTTTAAAAAAACTTTGAGGAGAAAAAAACTTATAAATAAATGATAAAATGTAATAAATAAATAATAATAATAAATTTAAGGAATAAAAAAACTTTTCTTAAAAATTATAAAAACTAAAATAAATATGCTTGATAAATTAAATTTAATGAATATTTAATAAGTATTAAATGTATAGGTAAACTATGAATTTATATAATGATTTTTTAATGAATAATGTATAATATATTTTTTTGCTGGATGAGATAAAAAAGTTAAATTAATTGATCGAATACTTGTCCACTGCGATCTCTAAATTTTGACAGGATCAAAGGCAGAAAAAAGTGAGCTACTGGTCTATGATATATCCAATTTTTTCGTGCTAAGAAGAAGACACTTCCTTCGACATTTCTAGGCCTGTTCAATGTTCATGTACCATTTCAACAATAACAATAAAAGCCAACGACATAGATTTAATGCGCTCAGTGCAACAGTGTAAGAAATACCCCTCCATGTAGTTGACATTTGGTACCGCAGGTACTAATATTTGCAACTTTTATAATTATGCTCCATATATAGATTACTGGAAAGGCATGTGATAAGGGCCATAAGGGTTTATGAGTGTCATAAATGTGGAGTTGCATGGCAGCCGATAATGCTGTCCAAAAGGGAAAAAATGAGTAGTTGAGAGGAAAGTGATAGACCTTACAGATATAATTATCCAACCACTATTTCTTACATCTTAATTTTGGTTATATATATTTTGTGGATGTATTGATACAAAGATATCACGAAGCAAGAAAGTTAGTAAAAATATGGCAGGAAACGCAGGAGTTGTTCGTGATGAAGAAAGTGGTTATGGAGGGAACAAGATCCAGCCTTTTGCCTCAACACCAAGGTGAGTGTCAGATTTTCTTATATTTCTGCTCTTATTTTCTTGTCAATCTTTACCTTATTAGCTTTTTGAGGGTTGGTTTCTTATCAACAGGAGGATAAATTCTCTCATTTTGCACTTTGCAGGCCAGGAATATCAAAGCCTGAGACAGGGAAGCAAAATTCCTCTGCATTCAGCAGGATATTGGGCTCGGGAGAACTTGTTTCCTTGAATGTTAGTTTCTTTTATGCAGCTTACATTCCTAACCAACCAATTTCCCTGGTTTTCAAAAAGCTTTATGATTTCCAATGCCTTAGGCCCTGAATGCACTAGTGCAGTAAATATAGCGGGCTTGTTAGGGCTGAGGGTAGGAAGATGGCTAGCCCAAGATTTATGAAGGAGTGAAAAATTAAGAATTGGTCCTTAAATTTTGCATCTGTTAGCTAGATGCTATTCCTTAATCTTTATATTATTATGGTTTTCAGAAGCTTGCAGTTTAATCACATTCAGTAACTAATAGTCTAACTTACCAAAATTGGTGTTATCAGGTGTGGAGAGCATCTCTGGCAGAGGTTTTTGGCACAGCAACCCTAGTCTTTGCGATGGACACTATCGTAATTTCCTCCTACGAGACCCAAACCAAAACACCGAACCTTATAATGGCAACCTTAATAGCCATAACAGTTGCAATTCTCCTTCTAGCCACGTTTCCCATTTCTGGCGGCCACATTAACCCGGTCATCACTTTATCGGCTCTGTTTACAGGCCTTATCACTGTATCACGCGCCGCCATATACATCTTGGCTCAATGTGTTGGAGCCACCCTCGGGGCATTAGCGCTGAAGGCTGTGGTCAATAGCACCATAGAGGAAACATTTTCACTTGGAGGCTGCACTCTCAAAATTGTCGCACCAGGACCGAATGGGCCCATCGTTACAGGGCTCGAGACTGGCCAGGCCCTTTGGCTTGAGATAATTTGTACATTTGTCTTTCTATTTTCTTCAATATGGATGGCATTTGACAGGCGGCAAGCCGTAGCCCTGGGCCGTGTTATCTTTTGCTCGATTATTGGGGTGGCAGTGGGCCTTCTTGTGTTCATCTCGACGACTGTGACCGCAACCAAAGGCTATGCCGGGGTTGGGATGAACCCAGCTAGGTGTTTGGGCCCAGCACTCGTTAGAGGTGGTCATTTGTGGAACAGCCATTGGGTATTTTGGGTTGGGCCTGCAATAGCCAGTGTGGTGTTTTCTCTCTACACCAAGATCATTCCACGGGAACACCTCCATGGATGAGAATCAAAATAGAGTGCCTTTTGTTATGATGCACCATCATGTTGTCATTTCGATCTGTTAATGTAATAATTTGTCTCCCCTTGCAGTATCAATCATGATTTTAGTTCTATATATATCATTTTGATTCATATGTGAATAATGTCCTACGTCCCAAAATATAAAATATCTACAAGTATTTTCCCGAATGATTTCAATCATTTAATGGTTGATGTTTTGTAAGATCTAACAATTGGATCCGTCCCATCAATTTCCTGAGATTAATTGTATTTTTTAATAAATTTTTGCTGGCAAGAAATTAATATATAGTTCAAACGAATCAAAGAGGATGCAGCTTATATATTCTTTTACAATGTTTCAAGAACCAGCTAATCTAGAATTTTATACCCTGAGATAAAACTGAATTTCAACAACGACAGCAATATCTGGCTGGTTGCAAGATTTATCTAATCTTTATGTAAAAGAATTCTTAGTTTTTAAAAATGGATATCCTTTCAATTTATCTCATAATTTAATTATAACAATTTTGTTGGTATCAAAACTAAGGGTTTTAGTGTTTTATGTCCTTGGACTTTTCATTCGGGACATGGTCGATAGATCAATTTAATTAATCCATCATCAATGGCAAAGACAATAATCTTCCTCTTCTTGATTTGGTTCATTTTATTTTGTTTTATCCTATTTATCATCGAATTATTCTGCATATATTCCTTGCAACCTAGTTCTTTACATATGTCAGAATTTTTTTTACTTCCCTAGATTTGAAGTCCAAATGGACGTGGTCATCCACCAACACCAACATGCTGGAAATCAAGAATTTTCAAAATCGCTCGAGGCTTCAGAAGCAACAGATTTTAAAGGAACAAAACCCATGATGACAATATTTCTTGATTCCATTGGGGCCCATGAACTTTTCACATCAGAGGTCAGCCTGATTCGTCAAATATCTAATGTTAGATTGATGTTACGTACTTCTTTAAATACTATACTTTATGAACTTATTGTTCTAGCAAAAATAGGACCATTGATTTGTGCCTTGTATTGTGTATCTTCATTTTTTGTTTTTTCTCAGATGTGGAGGGCAACACTTACTGAGCTAGTAGCAACAGCTTGCCTGTTATTCACGCTAACCATTTCCATAATCTCATGCTTGGAATCAACCACTGCGGAGCCCAAGTTTCTAATTCCATTTGCAATCTTCACCATTGCCTTCTTCTTCCTGTTGACTACGGTCCCTTTATCTGGGGGTCACATGAGTCCAGTTTTCACATTCATCGCTGCCCTTAAAGGTGTTGTAACTCCTGTCCGTGCCTTATTCTATGTGATGGCACAATGTGTAGGCTCAATTGCGGCTTATTTAGTAGTCAAGAGTGTAATGGAAAAAAATGCAGAAGAAAAATATTCCTTAGGAGGATGCATGATTGATGGAAATGGGGAAGGGATAAGCCCAGCAATTGCATTTATATTAGAATTCTCATGCACATTTGTTGTGCTATTTGTTGGCGTAACAGTGGCATTTAACAAGAGAAGGTGCAAAGAGCTAGGCTTACCAATGGTCTGTGGTATATTGGCAGGGGCAATGGCACTTGCCTTTTTTGTGTCCATTTCTGTAACTGGAAGAGCTGGATATGCTGGTGTGGGCTTGAACCCTGCAAGGTGTTTAGGCCCAGCATTATTGAAAGGAGGCCGATTATGGTATGGCCATTGGGTTTTCTGGGTGGGTCCTTTTGTTGCTTGTATTGTTTATTATGGATTCACTTTGACCTTACCTGGGGAGGTCATGGTGAGAGGAGATGATGCACTTGATGTCTTACATGTTAGTTAGGAGATAATGCTAGGGAACTGGCTCCCTTAATAAACGTTAAAAGAGAGTATTGAGGCATCTGTATCTTTCTTTCTTTCAATTTTATATGAAATTCAATATTGATCCATGATATTACATATCAAGTTCAGGTCCTCTGTCCGGTTTTTTCTTGTTTTTTGTCTTTTTTTCTTGCACTAGTTTTTGTATGCCAAAGACGGACTATTTTATATGAAATTCAATATTAAATCCAGTTATTTGGCAAACCACAGCTACCCAGCGTTTTCCCTCTACGCCAAGGTGAGTGTCAGAATTTCTTATATTTCTGCTTTTCTTTTCTTCTTAATCTTTACCTTATTAGCTTTTTGAGGGTTGGTTTCTTATCATCAGGAGGATAAATCCTCTCATTTTGCAGGCATGGAATATCAAAGCCTGAGAGAGGGAAGCAAAATTCCTCTGCATTGAGCAGGATATTACTGGGATAGGAAGAACTCGTTTCCTTGAATGTTAGTATCTTTTATGCAGCTTACATTTTAACTGACTAATTTCCCTGGTTTTCAAAAAGCTTTCTAATTTCCAATGCCCTAGGCCCTGAATGTACTAGTCCACTAGATTACTAGGCTTATACGGGTTAAGGTAGGAAGATGGCTAGCCCAAGATTTATAAAGGAGTGAAAAATTAAGAATTCGTACTTAAACTTTGCCTGTGTTAGCTAGCTGCTACTCCTTAATCTTTAAATTATTAGGGTCCTCAAAACCTTGTAATCTAATCGCATTCACTAACTAATAGTCTAACAAACCAAAATTAGCATTATCAATTGTGGAGAGCCTCTCTTTCAGAGGTTTTTGGCAGAGCAACCCTAACCTTTGCGATGGATACTATCCGAATTCCCTCTTACCAGACCCAAACCAGAACACCAAACCTTATAATGGCAGCCTTAAAAGCCATAACTGTTGCAATTCTCCTCCTGGCTACATTTCCCTTTCTGGCGGCCACATCAACTCCGTCATCACTTTATTGGCTCTTTTTACGAGCCTTATAATTGTTTCACGCACCACCATATACATCTTAGCTTTGTATACTGGAGCCACACTGGATGCATCAGCACTAAAGTTGCGGTCACTAGCACCATAGAGTAAACATTGTCACTTAAAGGCTGCACACTCTCAAAATTGATGCATTGGTATCGAATGGATCCATCGTTACCGGGCTCGAGACGGGCCAGCCCCTTAGGCTTGAGAATTTCTATTTTTATTCAATATGGTGGCATTTGACAATCGCCATTTGCCAAGCCATATCCTTGGGCCGAGTTATCTTTTGCTCAATTATTGGGCTGATTGTGGGCCTTCTTTTGTTTATCGCGACAAGGGTGACCGCGACCGAAGGCTTTGTCGAGGTTGGGATGAACCTCTCCACGTGTTTGGGCACTAGTCAGAGGTGGTCATTTGTGGAAGGGCCCTTAGGTGTTTTAGGTTGGGCATGTAATTGCCGGTGTAGTATTTACAAAAGACTCTAAAAGAATTAGGATTTTGACTGTTATTAAACTATTCATCCTCTCATAATTTACTGTGGATGCTCACTCGTGTTCACTGTGCTCCAAATTTCAGCTCCTGTTTACCGTTCATTATCTGCTCTCTCTTATTGGTTTTTTGTGCACCCTTGATTTGTCACCTTTCTTGCATTATTTTTTTCTTTGTTTACCTAAGTTTTTTTTGCATAGTTCATTGATGCCCTTAAACTTTTTCTTTAATTGCTTCTTTGTCACATGGTGTTTACTAGTTGGATAACCATGTTATGCTTCGATCGGATAATTGTTATATAAATAAAGTCAACGATTCATATGATATAGTGCGGATAAAAATCTTATTTCTCGTAATTAATATCATTCAAATCTATTTGTTGAGCAAAATCATTTGATTTATATATATTTATTAACAAAATAATCAATAATATTATTATAAAAATTGTATTTGAATAATTAAAAGGTTCTTCTAGAACATTATTTCAATTATTTTATATTAAAAATATTGATTTTAGCACATAAAAAGAAATAAATAATAAATAATTGTTGTTATGTATGCAAATACATAATTAATTTTTAATATATATATATATATATTATCATTATATTTAGTAGATTCATAATATATAGTATAAATAATTTTTCTTAAAAAAAAAACCCATCTAAGTTGTATGGAATATATTAAAATCAATAAATTGAAATAAAAACTACTACAAAATTGGTTTCCAAAAATTCTTAATTTATGATGAAAGAGACTCTTAAATTGCAAATTAAATTATAAATTAGTTCATCTCATTTTGAGAAATAAATAAATTAATTCTTTTGGTTTAAAAAATAAATTTTTTAATTTTTTAATCAGTATTGATTACGAATAATTTATTTTTTTATTTTATAAAATGTCTTTTTTTATATTTTACTTTTTTTTCTAAGATCGTTTTTTTTTTAATCTTCCAATTTACAATTTTCTTAAATCTACATGGTGGTCCTAAAAAAGTAAAAAGAAATGAGGTCTCTAGTTACCACTTTTATGATTCATTAAAATTTATTTGTACCGTTCTCTTTTCAATTCCTTGTCTAAAAAATCATCTATACCTCCTTTTGCTGCATTTATTTTTATCTTCCCCCTTTCTTTTTTCACTCACAGTAATCTATACGAGTTACTCGAGAATAAATAATGATTACTAAAATAATCCAACATAAGATTTCATGGTCTCTTTATACAACACTAAGATACTTTTGATCGGATGAAATAATTTTCCTCAAAAAAATAAAATATCTTTTTTCATATTTTACTTTTTTTTTCTATTTCTTAAAACAAAAAATAAAAATAGTAAAATGGTAAAAAGGATAAAAAATTAGTTTTCAAACCAAATGAACTAATTGATTAATTTCTCAAAGAATTTTTTTTTCTATTTCTTAAAAAATAAAAATGGATAAAAAAATTAAATTTCAAACCAAATGGATTAATTAATCTATTTTTTTAAAAAAAATTAAGAAATAACAAAAAAATATATAAGTAGGGACATTAGGTGATGAGCTAAGATAAATAAATATTCTGATCTTCACTTCTTTTTAGTTTTTTATTTTTTATTTTTTATTATGATGTCAAGTTATGTTTGTGTCCTTCTTTTCTTGATTGTGCTTTAGCTAATTTTTTTTTGCATAGTTTTGTAAATATGTATAGTTTCGTGGGAGAGCATTTAATGCTCCACATGTACAGTTTATTAGCACCCCTGAATTCCCTTCTTAATTGCTTCTTTGCCACTTAGTATTTCTATAAAGTTATGTTTGTACCCTCTTTTTCTTAGTTTTACTTTAACTAACTTTCCATCCATTTTTGTAAATTTAATCATTATCGTGTGAAAGCATTTAATGCTCCAGATGCTCTTCCTTCATTATTGTTTTTCCTTTCCTTTTCGGTACAAACTAAAAGCTAACAATGTTGATAAGGCCATTTTTTTTATATTACCAAAATTCAACCGACCACACTTCATTTTATATATATATATATATATATATATATATATATATATATATATATATAATTTTGTACGAAAAGAGAAAAGGACATTAATTTATTTTTTGATGATCAAGATTTATTTGAAAACTTTCAGTCATAACCTTTTATGAAAGGTTAAATAAATGATAGTACGATAAAATATAATTTATTATTTCTTTCGCGTTTATGAGATCTCAAATTCAATTTTCACTCCTGAAAACTTTTCACTCCTTACAAAATAGAATTCGTTTTTTTCTTTCTTTTATGTTTTAAATGATAAGGATAAGGTCAATTTTGATACTTAAAGACTATATAATTTAAACAAATCTTGTTTATCTAAACTCGAATATATTTTAAACACACACACACACACACACACATATATATATAATCAAAAGATTAAAAGTGTTTTTATACAATTCATCTTAGAATTTTTTGAAAAAAAATTATAGGAAATTTTTTTAGTTAAGAATCCATGGATTTTTTAATTTTCTTTTATGATTTTAGTTAAAAATTCGAATAAAAAAGAATAAATCGTGTTCTTTTTAATAGCAAAATTATAAAAAACATGATAAATAATCATTTAAACACATAATTAAAAAAATATATAATAATTTTTTTTTTACCTTTGATTTTTTATATTTTAGTAAACATATAATATAACAAGTACCATCAAATTGAAATTATTTTTTAAAATAATTTTACATATTATGTCTAACTGACAACATAGCTAAGGGAAAAAACTAGATCCTTTCTAAATCAAAGATAATTCAATCCAAGCAGGAGAATCAAAATAGAGAGGTTTTTGGAAAATGAATATCCCCTTTCACCTTATCTCATAATCTAAAAGAATTCTTATTTTTTCAAAATGCATATCCTCTCATCTTATCGAATAATTAAAAAGAATTCGCAGTTATTCAAAATGCATATCTTCTCACCTTATCGAATAATTTAAAAGAATTCGTAGTTTTTCAAAGTCTAGTTACTTATTTTCTCAAAATCCATTATCCTCTCATCTTCCTGATTTTGTCCATTTTATTTTGTTTTATCTTATTTATCGAACTATATATTCTGCATTTAGGCCTTGCAACCTACTAGTTCTTTGCGTATTTAGGATTTACTCTTTTTTTTTCAGCTTTGAAGTCCAAATGGACGCGGTCATCCACTACCACCAAGATGCTGGTAATCAAGAGGGTTCGGTAGCAACCGATAATAAAAGAACAAAATCCGTAATGACAGTATTTCTTGATTCCATTGGTGCCCAAGAATTTTTTTCATCTGAGGTCAGCTTGATTCGTCAAATATCTAATGTTAGATTGATGTTATGTACTTCTTTAAATAATATACTTTATGAACTTATTTTTCAAGGAAAAATAGGATTATTGATTGGTGCCTCGTATTGTGTATCTTCTTTTCTTTTTTTCAGATGTGGAGGGCAACATTTACTGAGCTAGTAGCAACATCTTGCTTGTTATTCACACTAAACATTTCCATAGTCTCATCCTTCGAATCAACCACTGCTGAACCCAAGTTTCTAATTCCATTTGCAATCTTCACTATTGCCTTCTTCTTCCTGTTGACTGCGGTCCCTTTATCTGGGGGTCACATGAGTCCGGTTTTCACATTCATTGCTGCCCTTAAAGGTGTTATAACTCCTGTCCGTGCCTCATTTTATGCGATGGCACAATGTGTAGGCTCAATTGTGGCTTATCTAGTAGTCAAGAGTGTAATGGGAAAAAACGTAGAAGAAAAATATTCCTTAGGAGATTGCATGATTGATGGAAATTGGGAATTGAAAAGCCCAGGAATTGAATTTCTATTAGAATTTTCATGCACATTTGTTGTGCTATTTGTTGGTGTAACAGTGGCATTTGACAAGAGAAGGTGCAAAGAGCTAGGCTTACCTTTGGTATGTGGTATATTGGCAGGGGCAATTGCCCTTGCTTCTTTTGTGTCCATCTTTGTAACTGGAAGAGCTGGATATGCTGGTGTGGGATTGAACCCTGCAAGGTGCTTAGGGCCAGCATTATTGAAAGGAGGCCAATTATGGTATGGCCTTTGGGTTTTCTGGATGGGGCCTTTTGTTGCTTGTATTGCTTATCATGATTTTACTTTGACCTTGCCTAGGGAGGGCATGGTGCGACGGTGAGAGGAGATAATGCACTTGATGTTTTAAATGTTAGGTATGGGCTCTTGTTGGGGAACTGCCTCCCTTAATAAACGTGAAAGAAAGGATTGAGGCAGATGTATTGATCCTAGAAATGTCATGGTGTTTATACAAGCAGACTTAGTCTAATGGTTTATTATCCAATTAGTTTTTATAGTGAAACAAAGTTTGAGTTTTAATGATTTTAGTATTTTTAATGATTATGTAATAAATTTTTGATGATTATGTAATAGGAAGGGCTGTTGAATTTTGGAAGAATAAAAAAATATCATGGTGTTTCTTGAAAACTAAAATATGTTTGCTATCCTCTACTTCAATACTATTTCTTTTTTTTTATATGAAATTCAATATTGATCCGTGATATTACATATCAAGTTCACGTTCTTTGTCCAATATTTATTTATTTATTTATTTTTACTCTTTCTTTACATAGTTGTTTTACATGGTTAGTTGATATTCTTGTACTAGTTTTTGTACATCAAAACGGACTATTTATAACAAAAGTCAAGGATTCGTAAATTTTTTTCTACTTTAATCTTGTCAGGAGTTCGAATCATAATAAAAAGGAGGAGGAGGAGGAGCATATAAATACCCGTAAACAACAAGCCAATCCTCTCAAATTGGGTTCTTGAGGCATTGAGCTTGAAGAAATGAAATGAGTGTGATGGAAACAAAGTGCATGCCAATTTCAAATTAATTTCTCCCCACAACACACAATCTTCAAAATGTAGGAAGGCCAAAAAAAAAAAAAACAGAGAGAGAGAGAACCATGCACGTAAAGCGTGGTGCTGGCACAGTAGTAGAATTATATTAAATTAAGACGATTATGATCCCAGGACTCAAGGGGATAGGATCAGGCTGTGATTCTTATTGATAAGGTGTGTATTTAATGCGAAGATGGGCTTATAGGTATTTGTCATTGACTTTGAGTTAATTGGCAGAGAGGGCAATGCATCAGTTATTTGGCAAACCGTAGCTATCAATTATATGAACACCTTTACTCTATTGAGTCTAATAATTTGTGTGTTGCCTCCATCCCAATTAAATCTAGTTGGACCAATAAATGTGATAAAGCAATGTCAGAAAATGATCTAATATTAGGTGGCCGAAAACTAGCCGATATTATTGATCAGGGAAATTTAATTCTATTTTGATTCATCTGGAAGCCTGTTACTATGGGAACAGTTTTCTTTATTTTTTAATATATGTTTTGCTTCAAATGTAAGATATTTTCCCTTAAAAAAAATGTAAGATATTTCCTGGTCATTTGGAATCAAGTGGCAGAAGAATTATTTATTATTTCTGCCAACTTGTAAGACTTGATTAGTATGCAGAGTTCAAAGAGGGAGCCATAAAAAACAGAGAAGAAAAAGATGGCTCGCAGAAGAATTATTTATTAATTCTGCCAACTTGTAAGGCTTGATTAGTACTTGGTTTCTGGCTATACATATAGAGAGAGAGAGAGTTCAAAGAGGGAGTCATAAAAAACATAGAAGAAAAAGATGGCTGGACATGCAGGGGCTATTCCGGATGAAGAAACCCTCTACAGTGGAAATAGAATCCAAGCCTGTGCCACCAAACCAATGCATGTGCCCAACTTCATATTATCATTTTTCCCTCACTTTAAGTTTGTAATGCCCTGAAATACCGTTGCTAGTAACCACATCTAATAACCCTTTTGGTTTTCTAATAACTTTGCAGGGCAGAGATGATTAAAAATGAGGAAGGGAAGAATCAAGTTACATCGAGGGAAATATTGGGTTTCGAAGATCTTTTCTCTTTGACGGTAACTATCATAATTTTTAACAAAACATCGTTTGCAAATTGCAAATTTTGTTAATGAATCCCTTTAATATAATTGGTTTGGTCCACGTGAATCAAGTCCATGTAATAGTTAATTTCTTGTGGACAATCTTTGTAATTGTAACTGCTGTCGTTGTTGATTTTAGAACTACCCAGGTAGCATGTCAAATTTTTAAGGCAAAAACCTTACCATGCAAGTCTTGTGTTTACTCAGGTCTGGAGAGCATCAGTGGCAGAGCTCTTGGGCACAGCTGTTCTTGTTTTTGCTTTGGACACCATAGTGATTTCCACTATAGAGACTCAGACAAAAATGCCCAACTTGATACTATCTTGCCTTGCTGCCATCATCATCACAATTCTCCTACTTGCTACCTTTCCCATTTCCGGTGGCCACATTAACCCTATCATCACCTTCGCTGCCTTCCTGACTGGCCTCATTTCCCTTTCGAAAACTTTTATCTACATTTTGGCCCAGTGTCTAGGTGCCATTTTTGGTGCACTAGCGCTAAAAGCTGTGGTCAACAGTGAAATTGAAAAAACCTTCTCTCTTGGAGGTTGTACCCTTTCAATTGTTGCACCAGGGCCACATGGGCCGACTGTGATCGGCCTGGAGACAAGCCAGGCCCTTTGGCTGGAGATAATTTGTGGGTTTATCTTTCTTTTCGCTTCAGTGTGGATGGCCTTCGATCATCGTCAAGCCAAGGGTTTAGGCCGAGTTACTGTTTTCGTCATCATCGGAATAGTCTTGGGCCTCCTCGTGTTTATTTCCACAACTGTCACTGCTACGAAAGGTTATGCAGGGGCAGGGCTGAACCCAGCTAGGTGTTTGGGTCCAGCAATTGTTAGAGGAGGCCATCTTTGGAACGGACACTGGGTGTTTTGGGTTGGACCAGCTATTGCTTGCGTGGCATTCGCCATGTACACGAAGATCATTCCACGAGAACTTTCCCACAACGTAGAGTAGAGGCTGAAACATGTGGAAATCTTTTTACATAGATCACCATAGTTCAATCAAAACTTGATTTACTGTCTCACTGTGGCTCAATTAAATTTGATTTATTATGCCATCTAATTAGATTTGTTAATTCCATAAACGGGATAAACATCTGTAGATGTCTGTAGTGAAAATTAAATAATGATGCTCCATCATGATGTGTTTCAATAACATAATAGTGTAATTTCATTAAGAAAATGTAACAAACTATCCTCAACTTCATATTATTGTACTTAATAATAGTGTGTTGGGTTTAATCCCTAATTGTAAAAAGAATGAATACCCCAGCACCATGTAGAACAACTATTTTTTTCCCATCGAAAGATCTGGAAATCTTTAGCTATGTAACGAAAGATAGTATTTTCTTGTTTTATCATAAACAAATAAACTAATTAAAATCATTAGAATTCGAATTTGTTTGGCTAAAAAGACTATTACTTATACAATTGCTAATTTATATGTGTATGTATGAACAATAATTTCTTCAACGCATGGAATGCCATACTTTTGTTTGAAACGATCTATGGGAGTAAAACTAAAAAGAGAAAATTACTAGTTAGCAATTGTATAAATGTGGATTTCACAACGAAGCATTTTGAAATTCGTCACTCTAGAAATCCCTTTCTCAAAAACCTCAATTTCTTAAAAACTACATTAGTCTAACTATATTTTCCCAAAAACTCTGATTCATATAGATAACTTGTCAAGATAGTCACATAACTCATATTGATGAGTTGCAACTTCAAAAATTTGATTTTACAAATTATATCATATTAGAATATTATTTGTCTCAAATCAAATAATACAGAAGGAGCAACTGATAAAATGTAAAATTTAAGTTTTTTATAAATGTCCATTAGGTTAGGCTTCCTCATAATTAATGATGAATCTCTTTTTTTATGACTTTATTAGCCTTTTATATATATATATATATATATATATATATATATAACTTTATAGCCATCTAAACCAACAGATTAAAAGTAAGTACACCTTATGTTCTATATTTTTCAATACAAAAACAAGAAAGTTCAATTAAGATAAATAATTTCAATCATACTAATATATACACGTATATCTCAGAAAGCCATTGCTTTCTATCTCTAATATCTAGATAATGACAGAAGTGTAAGATATATTTCATTGAATGGAATGGAAGGAATAAATACTAGCCAAGATAATTACAAACGGAAGCCTAGTTACTAAAGGGGATTACAAAATTTGAATATACAGTGTCTATCTAGTTATTACAACAGTTGTGGATAGAGTCTTTGACATATAATCAATATTTATTATTATATAATATATTTAAAATACTGATTTAACCATCAAATTGACTATATTGAATACTTTTTTATACAATTAATATCGATACTTGTACTATATATTTGCAGGACTTCAAGAAACACAACCATCGATCATTTCTCCAAACCTAACAAAAAAGAGAGTAACCCCTAAGCCTTTATATATATATATATATATATATGCTCTCATGAATCATGATGTATGGTCTCCACACTCTAAACATTAGATAAACATGCGTCACTTTTACAGTAGCTAGAAATGAGATTTCACACTGAACCTCAAGATATAAGATCTCGAGTTTTGCAAGGGCATCATCTTTTGGAATTAAACCACCAAACCAATTCTTAGCACCAACAACAAATTAAAATATTACTTGTTATGATCAACTGAAAGAAGAAATTAAATAACAACCAACTGCCAGCTTGTAAATTTTGATTAACCTGATTTCTGGTTATATACATAGACAGTGCAAAAGAGAGGGCCATGGAAACAGAAGAAAAAGATGGCTGGATACATAGGGGCGGTTGAAGATGAAGAAAAACTCTATAGTGCCAACGAAATCCAGTCTCATGCCACTACACCTATGTAGGTGCAAAACTTCATATAAACTTAATTTCAGTTTCCCTTTCAAATTCATAAAATCTCGAAATATTATTATAAAAAAAAAACTAAAGTAAAACATGGATTTATTATTCATTTTCACTATTTGAAATATTATTCACATACTCACAGATCATTGCTACTTTTAGTATTTTTGTCGTTTTTTTGGCATTTTGATTCTCCATTTTTCTATACTTTTTTTTTCAAATTCAAACTTTAATTGTATTGTGATTTGATCATATTTTATTTTAATGTTTTCTTTTAATTATTTTTATTATTTAAAATTTACGACTTTAATTTGTTATTTTTTTAATATAGTCATATGTTATTAACATTATGATCATATTATAATAATATTATTTTTCTATACTAAGCATTTACTTGTTATTTATTTATTTTTTAATTAAATAATTAAAATAATATTTTGGCTTGACCATTCAATAATTCAAATTAATATAGTTTTTTATTTTAATATTATTCATTCTTTTGTAAATAAATATATAAAAATTAAATTCGTATTTTTTCGAAAATCGATATTCTCATCAACATTAAATAAAAAAAATTATTTGTTCAATTTTATGTAAGCTTTTAATAATTATTATTTATGTTTTTCGACACAATCTTATGAAACACTAAAGCTTTTCTAAAAAAATTATTAATTTTTTTTAGTTAATAATTCATGGATTAACAAGGATAAATATTTTTTTCTAAAGGAAAAATTATGAAAAACACAAATAAGAAATAATTAAATATAAAATTTTTGATAAAAAATATATTTTTTTACCTTTAATTTTATATATTTTTATAGATTCATACTATAAAATAATTATATTAAACTAAAATAATCTATCTAGATAATTTTATATATTTTATGTATCCCGCGGACAAAAATAACTAGTAACTAAAACTAATAAGCCTGCATACATAGGGTTTGAATTTCTTTTTGCTTCAGCGTGGATGACGTTCGATCATCACCGAGCTAAGGTTCTGGGCCGAGCTAATGTTTTTATCATTGTCGGAATTTGATTGGGCCTTCTTATTTACCATTCGACTACTGTCACTGCTACGAAAGGCTATGGCGGGCGGGGTTGAATCCAGCCCGGTGTTTGGGCCCAGCAATTGTCAGAGGGGGCCATATTTGGGATGGGCATTGGGTATTTTGGATTGGACCAGCTATTGCTTATGTGGCATTCGCAGGGTTCACAGAGGTCCTCCCACGCCAGCATTCACATGCGACGGAGTAGAAGCCGAACATGTTGAAATCTTTTTATCCCATTGTTTGTGATTTCAAACTTCAATTTTTTTATCATTTGAAACCCCGCTCACTCTACCCAAACCATTTGTTTAGCTGTTTTTGGTGTCTCTCATGATCTCATCAGCAACAACCTCTTTCCTTTTCTTCTTCATAGTTTCAGATTGTATTTAAGATCTCTTATTCATGTTTATATGATTGTTTGTCGGCAGTTTGTTATTTTAGTGCACTATGGTTTTTCTTGTTTTGAATAAAAAAATTATTGAATCTTAATGTTCTAGTTAGACGAAAAAGACTGATTTTGATTAATGTCTTTTTTAATCATCGATTAACAAAGCTCATTCAATTATAGTAAATTAAATTCATCTGTGCATATATGTCAGAATTTCAAAGAAGTTTTTTTCCCCCATAGTATTGAAAAGATCAGTTGTTATCTTGAAGACCATTTAAATTGGATCTATTTCTTTAATTAGTTTTATATGGTATGTCAAAACAAGAATTATATGAATTCCTTTTCTTTTATATTGAAAGGAATTATTCGGAAAATATATTTTAGATTTAAATTTGAGAATCGTTTATGATTTTTCTGTCAATAGTTAATTGTTGTAATTTATCTTGAATTCTTCTTTTGGGACTGAAAATTCATATTTGGTTATTAAGAATAAAAAGTCTGAAACGAGAATACGAAGTTAGAATGAAAATTAAACAATAAAAATAACATTTGTATTCTCATATTACATTTAGAATATTAATAAAGAATTAAAATAAAATTTAATTTTTTTTAATATCTGATTTCTAATATCAATAAGAATAATAATTGAAGAGGAGTGGTGGTTGATGAAGAATAGTAACAGAATAATAATAATGATAATTTTTTTATTACCATTATCAATTAATGATAGTGTTGGTGATGACGATAGTATAACAAAAATGATAGTGGTAGTTAAGAAGGAGTAATGACATATAATAATAATAATTTATTTTTTAATTTTTTTTATCATCATTGCTAATGAAGATAATGGTGATAGTGGTGGTAGATGGATAATGATAATAATAATTTTTTTTTATCACGATCACCAATGAAAGTGTTGGTAGAAATGATTGATATACAATAAATAAAAATTCATTGCTAGTCTTTGTTTTATTCCCACCTTTCACTTGGAAATAAAATTATGTTTAATTTTTTATTTCTATTTTTACTTCATGCCTTTCAACTAAACATTTACACACCTTAATTTACAATCTATTTTTGTTTGGCCCAAATTTCCAGAAAGCTCCAAATGTTTTAGCCGAATAGAAAAGAGTAGTAGTTGCAAATATTCTTTAAATCAATGCGGAATCTTTCTTCCCTTTTCGTTCCATAAAATGAAATTAAAAACATGCGTTATGTAGTAGTATAATTTTTTTTTTAGAGTTTTGATGACTAAATAGATACGATTTTGAATTTCATGATTTTATTTTCTCTTCTAATTAAAATTAAATAATTAAATATAAAATAACGACGGTGTTTAAGTTTGAAGTCTATAGATTTTCAACTTGAGGGGTTTCTAAGATTTCATGTAAACACAATATGAAAATATAAATATCATTTCGATTTTTTAATTTTCATTTTGATTTCTGAATTTTCATTCTTATCACTCAATTCTTAACTACTAAACAATACCTAAGAATTTGAGTTTGTTATGGATTTTAACAACATGGATTTAATTAACTCCCACAACCGTTATAATGAAGCATTCTATATTCAGCAATTCATGGCAGTAAACATAGAAGTCACATAATTTTTTTTTGCTTGAAAGAAGGCACATAATTTTTAAACAACAGTAATTTTGCCTTGAATTTTAATTGAAGGAAATAAAAAAAATCTTTATTTAGTTTTTAAATGAAAAAAGAAAAAAACATTATAAAAGAATCACGTAAAAAATAGAACACAATTGAAGGAAAAAACATGCCTGTCAACACTCTTAACCAATGAGGGATTATGAAATTATTGACACCTTTTTTCCTCTATTAAATATATGATCACAACTTCGTTCAAAATATATATATCTCACCTTCTACTACAATCCCTATTGTTGGAGTACAGTGTTTTTTTAATATTTTTTTTTGCCCCTTTTCCTATCATTTGGACTTTGATGATTTAGATTTCACTATGCTTCTGAATCTCTTGTGTTGGAAGAGGCCCTGAAACTTGAAGTCTTGCGTCGATTCTACAACTGGACAAGCTGGACGTGCATGAAGCTAGCCTATCATCATAGAAAGAAAGCCTCCTCTTCCCATCGTTTACCGAAAAAAAAAAACAGAATGATCACCTGAAGTTTAGTGCTGACATAGTGGAATTATATAGAACGCGATTAAGATCCCAAGACTCAAGGGATTAGGATAAAGCCACAATCCTTATTGTTAAGATATGGAAATAATGCCCTCTCGTAAGTGATTTTGACAAATCAGAATCCATGACCTTAAGATAAACAAATTCTCTAACAAAAACTAATTAAATAGGGTACTGCTGAATCATTTGTGTTAATTAAGATATACCAACTGGACAACTGTGATTGTAATATGATTTAATGTTCTGCCAAAAAATAAAATGATCATTTTACCCCAAATAGTATACTGAAACTGGATTTTAGTTATTTACATTAAATTCATTTCTCAATTCCAACTAAATACAAATTATATGCCACTATAAAAAATATATATATATATATATACAAATACAAATTATATACGCCAATATTATAAGAAAAATCATAAATATTTATTCTTCAATCGAGATTTGAACTTTGAACTTACTCCCTAAGAAGGGAATATATCCCCTTAATTAGCTATCAAACTTGCTTCATGCACTTAAAAAAAATAAATAAATAAATTCATACCGTATAATGTTTGAGTAAGTTGCCGAACCTATTAAAAAAATAAACTTGATGAGCCAATTACATTGTAGTTAAAGGAAAATGCTACTTTTTTTCTTAGGAAGTTTGATGGATCTTTAGTTAAACATCACGATGAAATACGCACCTTCTCTTTAATATTCTTTATTTTTATTTATTCCAAATGAGAGTATATAAAAAATTAAATTGCTGCTGATCTGGAATGATACTGGACACTGACAGTTAGAAGCACCAACAACAAATTAATTAAAGCAGTCTAAAATATCAAGTGATAGAAGCAATTATTCATTACCTCTGCCAACTTGCAAACCTTGATTAATCTAGTTTCTGGCTATATATAGAGTGCAAAAGAGGGAGCCATGAAAACAAACGAAAACGACATTTATATTTAAAAGAAGAAGAAGAGGATGGCTGGATATATAGGGTCGACTGTTGTGGACGAAGAAAACCTCTATAATGGGAATAAAATCCAGCCTTTTGCCACTACACCAATGTAAGTGCTAAAACATCACATTATATCATGCTTTTCTCCCTTTATAACATCATGATCCAAATATTGCTGGTTAGCTGAACTAATAAGCCTTTTGTTTTCCATAACCTTGCAGGACAGAGATAGTTAAAAATGACGAAGGGATCAAGAAGCAAAAATCCACTATATTGAGAGAGATATTGGGCTTGGAAGACCTTTTTTCTTTGACGGTAATTAGCTAGTATGACTTAAATCAAATCAATCGTCGTTTAAGACCTTGTAATTAACTAGAAACTATTATTGTTGATTTTGCTACTGTTTCATAAATAACATGATATTGTTTTTGGGTTCGATGCTTTATGTTGTACCATAGGTAACGTGTTACCCATTTAAGCAAGAAAACTTACCATGCAAATTTATTAGTATTATTATTATTTTGTGTTCTCAGGTATGGAGAGCATCGGTGGCTGAGCTCCTGGGTACAGCTGTTCTTGTTTTTGCACTGGACACCATAGTCATTTCAACTATTCAGACTGAGACGAAAACACCCAACCTCATACTGTCAGTCCTTGTTGCCATCATCGTCACAATTCTCCTCCTTGCTACCTTTCCTATTTCTGGTGGCCACATCAACCCTATTGTCACCTTCGCTGCCTTTCTAACTGGCCTTATTTCCCTTTCAAAAGCTTTCGTCTATATTTTGGCTCAATGCGTTGGTGGCATTTTTGGTGCACTAGCGCTAAAAGCTGTGGTAAACAGTGGAATTGAGCAAACCTTTTCTCTTGGAGGCTGTACCCTCACCATTGTTGCACCGGGGCCAGATGGGCCGACTGTGATAGGCCTAGAGACTGGACAGGCCCTTTGGCTTGAGATAATCTGTGGGTTTGTGTTTCTTTTTGCTTCCGTGTGGATGGCCTTCGATCATCGTCAAGCCAAGGCTTTGGGCCGAGTTAATGTTTTTATCATTGTCGGAATAGTTTTGGGCCTTCTTGTTTACATTTCGACTACTGTCACTGCTATGAAAGGCTATGGCGGGGCCGGGCTTAATCCAGCAAGGTGCTTGGGCCCAGCAATTGTTAGAGGGGGGCATCTTTGGAATGGGCATTGGGTATTTTGGGTTGGACCAGCTATTGCTTGTGTGGCATTCTCGGTGTACACAAAGCTCATACCAAGCCAACTTTCCCACACCATAGAGTAAAAACCCATCTGAAATTCAAGGAGTCCCTCATGAGAGGAATGTTTCCGTGCTGTTAAGTTATTACATTCTTAATCAAATTGTAATAATGTGTTATTAATTTGTCAAAAGAAAATTGTAACAATGCGTTCCATTGACTACAATATTGTAATAAAATTTTGCGACTCTATTAACTATAAGCATCATAGTTTAAGTCGTCCTTAACTCATATGGATATTAATAATCATGCATGCTTAATAGCTTGTATTTTCACGTCATGATCTAAAATTATGATTTCTCGATCTTTCATGAAAGACTATCTCATGATGGAAAATGATCCAAGCAAGCAAATTATAATTAAGTTGTAATTATATTTTTCTGAGCTAACTGAAATGTTATAATTATAATATTAAATTATATATAAGCATGTTTCAATACCCTCAATTTGATCTCATTTGCGGGTTCAGTTTGGCACCTGCCATGACATTGATTCTTGGATTCTTTTCCTTATAATGTATACATTTACAAATTAATATAACCAAGATATAATTTGGACTCTTCACTTTAAAATATCTGTTAACCTCAGAGTGAATTTCGATTAACAAAAAAATCTTAAGAGTGATTAGTTAAGGAATAATGTTTTAATCGTGAGAAAATGATTTCAGCCAAATAATAATAATAATAATAATAAAAGAAGCAATTATGCTCTATGCAAGGTTGTAAATATCTTTTCGTTCCATCTGATATGTTCGAAATGTTTCGTACCACTTGAAAAACTAAAAATATCCATCTATTTCATATCGTTTACAATTTCTTTTTTTATTGTCTGAGATGAACCGAAACAGATCAAAATGCCCGAAATGTTTCTTCATCCACAACAACTCTTGTATATCCAAACAGCTGCGAAGCCTTGTACTTTTTTCTGCGTCATTAATTAATAACCACCATATTTTAAAAAATTATACTCTAATAAGGCATCTAAAATTAATAATATAATGTATAGAACAATTCACAAGCATTGAGACCCAAATTCAAAAATAAATTAAATTTCGTTTAATAATAAATAAATAGAATTCAAAGATTAAGAATCTTGAAACATTGAACTCATGGAAAAGAAAAATATAAAGCCTTTTAATTCCTACATAGCTTATTCTTCCGCAATTTTAACAATAAAATTAATAATAATAATAATATGAAACTTTAATATAAAACGAAGGAAAAGGCTTAAATTTATCTCAAGAAGCCATGTTTACATTCTTTAAAAGAGAGATGTGAACATCTAGCCAGAAACAAGGTTAATCAAAGTTTTGAAGCGGCCACTTGCGTTTTAAATAATTTATTCTTTCAGTTCATGACAAGTGCTATTTTCATTTGTTGTTGGTGCTTACGATGAGTTTGACGGTTTTTATATATATATATATATATATTAAATCAATTTTTATATTAATTGAGACTGATTTTATCAATTTTTTTTAAAGAATTGGTTTGGTGGTTTAATTACAAGAGTGATGCTAGCTTTATTACGGCCGTGTTTGTTTGTAGAAAAAATAATTATGGGAAAGTCATTTTTCAAGAAGTTATTTTTCTGAAAAATATTTTTTGATGTTTGGTACTTATATTAGAAAACTGTTGGAAAACATTTTTCAATGTTTGTTCGATACGGAAAACTGAAATATAAAAATAAGTAATTATTATTATAATTTCATGATTACAAACCTACCATGTGCATTTTAAAGTTTTGCTTTTTTTGATTTTGTACAAAATTGCTTTCTATAATGTGGCCACTCAAAAAAAAAAAATATATTTAAACTTTTTTTAACATGTTCCTATTCGTATTTTTTAGTAGAATTATTATTATTATTATTATTATTTAGCATGAGAAAAGAAATAAAATTAACCTTGTTGAACTTTTTTATATTAAAATTCATAAACTTAAATTATTAAACTAATAAATAGTAATATGATTTTTGTAATTGAAATAACACTACTTGTAATTTAAAAAAAAAATTGATGAGACGAATTTTAATATAATTAAAAGATAAAATTTTGATTTGAATTTTTTAAAAAGTTTAGAAGTAAAATTGATATAAAATTTTTTTTGATGATAAAATTAGGACTACCTATATAATTTTTGAGAGAGCTAATTTTTAGATTTATTCAATCAAAATATATTGGAAGGCAACAACACATATATGCTGCCACAAATTATTTGCCAGTCCATAAATTTTATCCATCCAACATAAACAAAATCTTTATCAAAGTCCTTATTTTCTTGCTCTCTGCGTTGGAAAGGGAAATAGAAATGGTGCGCTTACAGGTTTGAGCTAATTAATTGATAAAAAAGGTCAAAAAGGAAAGGGCACCATTCTTCTTTTTCTGTATTTTCCCTTTCCTTTCTTTTTTTGCCATCCACCTCTCTTGGATCTGCGGATGAGCTCAATTCCAAAGCCCCTGCTACGCCTCTGTCAAGGGATTGGAGACAGGTTTCGAGTCGCCCAATTCAATTGTCACGGGGTGGTCAATCTATTGCTTAAGCGGTTCTAAAAGCAGCTCGTCCGTAATCCAGAGGTGGGTCTCGACTGACTTTCCTTTCCACAGTCCCATCTTGTGTGTAATCATCAGGCCCTTCTTCTATAGCCACCTCCTTGGCCTAACAACGTGAAACAACTTCTCTTTTGCAGGCTTTGTTGCGGCGGCTTTGGGTGGCGAAGATGGTCGGCTTCAGGCAACAATGAAACGGATGAGTTTGGGTGAGAACAGGGATGGACAACTCCAGAGCTCCTAGGAAAATGTTTTCCCCTTTTTTTTTTTTTCGGGAAATCAGTTTCCAAGATTTACCTTTTAATTTTCCTTGACTGCAAAATAGGTTTCTTTGACTTTTTTCCAACATGACCAACCAAACATAGGAAAATGGGAAAACAAGTGTTTTCCCCGAAACAAACGCAGCCTACGTTTTGGTTACGGTGACTCTCTCTTTATCTCTCCTGTGGCTGCTATTGCTCTGTTTGGCGTGGTGTTTACGAATCCTCCCTTGCTGTCATGTTTCACGTTTCTGGTGAAGATTTGCTTATTCTACTGTTGATCTTGTGTGTGGACTGCCCTTGTTTTCTCGTCGGTTTGGTCATATTAAAAAGTCAATACTGCTATAAATACATCAAATTTCCATCGTGAATTGATACACCAACTTTTTATATAATTTGTTAAACAACTAGTATAAATAGTTAGTCCTTCTTTATTTGTAAGTATCTAACATTTGAGAGCAAATTCTCAAGTGTAGGATTAAGGTGAGTGGGTGCAATTATAAATACATGCACGTGAGAGTTAGAGAGATTTGTGCCTAAGGGTTATCAATTAATAAGTGCAGTAATTATTCAATGAGTGCTGTATGAGTTAGTGTTTTATACTATTGATTTATCATTATTAGTACTATAAATAGATCTGTATTTTTAAGTAATGGAGCGGTTGTAAAACTTGAGATTTCATATTCTCATATGTAGTATGAAATTTCAGTCTAAAACTTTTTTTGTGACCACAGTAAAACTAAAGACATATATGTTTATCTAATATGTAGAGTATGGAGACTATAAGCTTTAAAATTCAGAACATGTTCATTGGAGGTATTTAAAATTTGGACTAGAATAAATTATTTTAAACCTTGTAAACCTTGATTGACAAAAGAGGGAGCCATGGGAACAGAAGAAAAAAACATATAGAGGCTGTTGGGGATGAAGAAAGCCTTTATATTGAGAATAAAATCCAGTCTTTTGGCACTTCACCAACATAAGTGTCAAAACTTCATACAGAGAGAGAATAAGAAAAATTATAATATTTTAAAAATAACTAATGATATTTATGAATTCATTTAGATGAAAGAGATAGAAAAAAAAAAAGAGAAGAGAAAAATTTTTAAAAAATATTTTTATTACTTTTAGTAGGTTCGGATGTAATTTTATGTGTTTATCTTTTTTTTCAAATGAATTCACAGAGTAATTATTATACATATCATTAATTACCCATAGAGTATTACAAAATTTTGCTATACGTGGACACCTTTTCTAACTTAGAAGGTCATGAAGTATCTTTGTAAATGGAACTAATATTTAAGCCTTTGTTGTCCATATAATTTCGCAGGAGAGAGGTAGTAAAAAATGAGGAAGGGGATCAAAAAGAAAAAAAAAAAAAAAACTATATTAAGAGAGATATTGGGCTTGGAAGACCTTTTTCCTTTGACGGTAATTGGTATGATTTCAATCAAATTAATTGTGGTTTAAACCTTGTATGATTTCAATCAAATTAAACCTTGTAATAGTAGCATCGTTGATTTTACTGTATCTGAATCATAAGTCATAACACGTTATTGTTTGGGACGGATATTGCTCTACTGTTGCATCATAGCTAGGCAACGTGTTACACATTTAAGGCAGCAAACTTAACATGCAAAAATTGTGTGCGTACGTGGAGAGCAGCAGTGGCAGAGCTCCTAGGCACAGCTGTTCTTGTTTTTGCTTTGGACACCGTATAGTCATTTCAACTATTCAGACGCAGACAAAAGTACCCAACCTTATCTAGTCAATCCTTGATGCCACCTTCGTCACAATTCTCCTCCTTGCTGCCTTTCCTATTTCTGGTGGCCACATCAACCCTATTGTCGTCACCTTCGCTGCCTTCCTAACTGGCCTTATATCCTTTTCCAAAGCTTTCATCTACTTTTTCGCTCAATGCGTTGGTGGCATTTTTGTTGCACTAGCACTAAAAGCTGTAGTGAACAGCGGAATGGAACAAACCTTGTCGCTTGGAGGCTGTACGGTCACAATTTTTGCACCAGGGCCAGATGGGCCGACTGTGATAGACGTAAAGACAGGACAAGCCCTTTGGCTGGAGATAATTTGTGGGTTTGTGTATCTTTTTGTTTCCGTGTACATGGCCTTCGATCATCTTCTTGTTTCAACTACAGAGACGGCCGCGAAAGGATATGGCGGAGCAGGGTTAAATCCAGCAATTGATAAGAGGAGGTCACCTTTGGAATGAGCATTGGTTCTTCTGGGTTGGTCCCGGTATTGCCTCCATGGCGTTTGCTCTATACACAAAGCTCCTTCGACACCAGCATTCCCACACAATCGAATAGACTACAACCATATTCAAGCATTTCTTAAGGAAATGGAAGGAGGAAGCTAAATTCTTTCGATTTTTGTATCTTAATTGAATTGCAATAACGCGTTATTGATGTCAAAATTAAAATTTGTAATAATGTTTCCCATTACTACGTCAAGATTTAGTTAGGTTTGTCATTGCCTTCTGCAATTCATATTTTTTATCATGCTTAACTCCGTGCATATCACAGTGCTAAATTGACAATTTCCAGGGGACCTTTCTGAAACCGCTAGATTGCTTAAAATCAACATAAACGTGGTCTCTTGCTGTATATGTATTGGATTAAAACACACTGAACATAATGGGTTCTATATTTGTAACTACAAGACTTCCAATATAAACGATTAGCACTATAGATTAGTACAACAAGGAAGAACAAAGAACACCAACTAGAAGGGGATTATGATTGACAATATAGCTTGACACCTTTGACTATGTGAATCTACTGTATCTGCACATGTAAGGCACGATCAAACTACCGGACTCAGCCTAAACAATCATTCCCCCTTTTTTATATATTATTATTATTATTATTATTATGGATATATATTTCTCTTCATATGTTTAAAACAAGAACTTTTTGTGATTAACTTGTAACTAGGAAGATGGCGGCAAAAGTGTAGAGGAGGGAGTAAGGGGCTCGTGGACAACAGAATTTGAAGAAATTGAGATGGGGTTGCCCTCTAACTGCAACATTATACTTCCCATGATTTCTGTCAACATCTTCTTGAACTCATCTTCTCTAACCGGTTTCCCATCATCTGCGTCCATCATCTTAAACGCTTCGCGTATAACCTCATCCATCTGAAACATTATTGAAGTGCAAAGTCATTAGCACATTTTCATTACTTCAATTTAAGACTAGGGCAAGCAAAGCTCAAGTTAAATGATATATATATATATATATCTTGGACCGAAATTCTCCTGAAATCATTTCCCGGAAAACCTCAGGTCGGGGAAGCGATTTCATAAACATTTTTTTCGTGTGTGGATAAAATTAGCATTAGTCTAAACTAATTGTGAATTATTTATAATTGGCCTTTTGCTACCTCATGGATTGCACCGATTGGCGGCAGGCCAGCAGATGGGCCGATCGCATCTAGTGCCACACGTAAATACTCCCTAGATATTTTCCCATTGCGATCTTTTGGCACATTTTCCATTGCCGCGTTTAGTGTCTGCGAAGCCGATAACAAATTTTAGAACATAAATAAATAGTTATGATAATTTTTCGCAAATGAAATAATGCTGATTAGTTTGATAGAGAAAAGAAAGGTTACATAGTTGTAATAACCAAACCTTGTCTAATTCAAATTTGTTGGATAAAAGTCTCTTAATTCCACTTCCATCAAAGGTATTTTCACTGTGTGCAACAATCACAGGCTGCTCCTTGAGACGTTGAGCTACACACTCTGCCACTTTCTTGAACTCCATCAAGAAGGTCTCTTGAGAAGGAGGCTTGTCATAATCTTGACCAGCACAAGATTGTAAAGATGGTTCCACAATGTTGCTAATTACCTACACAAGAAAATAATAAGTCCTGAATTTGCACTAAAACCCCATATTACCTAATGTTACAACATTGAATTTCAAGGATAAAAATTCCATTACTTACCCAAGAATCTGAAGATGGAGGCATCCCTTGATCAACAGTAAGTTGTTCCAAAGCTTTGACAATGCAGTCATGGAGTGATCCATCAGGAGATTCTAACTGTGAAAATAAAGACGCCATTTCTGCTTCATAACCTGGTCCATTAATGAACTCTGAAAGATCTTCCCCGTCGATACGGAGGATCACTATAGGGTCTCGCTTCAAACCGGCAGCCATGCCTAGAAGAAAATCTGATAGAACTTCTTTAAATTCAGTCTTGCTCACTCTCTCTTGCTTGCCATGTGTGAATTCATTTAGAACCTATAATCACATGCATGTTAAATATAAGACAAAGGTTTGTTTAATCTTAAATATATTTCAATTAGCTAACAAATGAGGTTATCTTGAAAAATCCCACCTAATGCGTTTCTTTCTCTCAACAATTCATTCTATCAAATTTAATTCCTAAGTTTTTCTTGCTCGTAACTTCTCTAACCTTTTTTCTTAGAAAGAAAGACAAGTCGCAATTTATTGCCAAGGTGGCCCTAGCTAGACAGTTCTACCTGTTGTTGTAGGCACGAGGTAATATTTTAATGCTTCCATATTTATTATCTAGAGCCTACATTCATGATTTCATCAGTGGAGCAGTTGGTTCTCCAAATCAAGATGTTAGAAGCGTGAAAGTTCCCTCTTTTTTCCTCTGCAAGATAAGTCCAAGAAAGAAGTACCACTTGATATTTTGAGTCCTGTCCCCACTAAAGCACTGCCTTTTTAAATCCAGGAAAGGCCGACAAATTTGAGAAAAAGTGTTTTCTAAATTCGTGAACTTTACAAGTAGTACTTTTTTAATCAAGTATTTCAATTTTTCAACTCTCAATTTTTTAATGGAGTATTTGTCCTCTCGTTTTTTCTTTTTCCAATCAACCAACGAAATTACCTTATATATATATATATATATATACACACACACCATGAGATCGTTTAACTAATAAATCATCTTTTTACTAATAGAAATCAATCTATTACATCATTCAAGAAGGGAAAAAATTCACATAGCTTTCTTCTCCAGATTCTTCTACAACATTTAATGATTAAAAAAAAAAAAAGGAAAAGAAGATAAAAGTCAAAGTGGGAAAAGCAAAGGCCAACTGAAAAGCGGAGACCCATAACACCGACGAACATTGAAAAATAGCTTGGGTGTTTCTCGAGGAAGCTAGACATGGAAATTTTTGACTAATTGTTTCTTATCATGTCTCCAATAAGACAAAGCATAATTAGAGCATCTCCGATAATGGTCTCTCCTTTTGACTAGTCTTAATATAAATAGAAAATAACATTAATTATATAAATTAAAAATCAATGTAATCTTCAATCTTATTTTCTATTTTAATTTTTTATTTTAATAAAATTTATAAAATCTAAATATATTATTAATAAAAAGATTAAATGATATAAAAAATAATAATTTTTATTAATGAAATATAAAATAAAGAATCATTTAACTTTTTAGTATTTGAGAATTAAAGACACTCTTTATCTTAATTTTAAAGATAAAAATTGTGATAAAAAGAACATTAAAAATAAAATTTAGATCAAACCTCTTTATTATAAAAAAAATCTTAATATAAATAGAGCATTAAATATACTATTAGATAATCAATGCAATAAACAACGAATTAGGGATTTTTTGGGGGCAATTAAAACTCAAGAAAGAATGATGAAAGCAATGAGACATTTGTAGATTATTATTGAAGTTAAAAGAGTTCTGGTTTAATTAAAACTAAAACTTAAGACGGAACAAGTGGCTGTGAAGTCAAATCACACGTAACACCCCACCTCCTACCTTGGCTTCAAGCTAGTAAAATACAAACTTGTGATTATCTCTCAAATACTCATATTTATTTTTCTCCACTATCTCGGGGCACGATTACAGATTTTCTACACATCAAATCTTCCTCATCAATTCTCCAGGGCCAACATTTTGCAACTAACAATTAAATGGCAACCCTTTCCCTATACATGTAACTCAAGGCTTTCCCAGGCCACAAAATTCAAGGCACAATTAGGATCTTAAGGGACTAATTTTCGCATATCAAAAATTAAGTAACTTCTTAATTACGTACAATATATCTAGATTGTCCTTTTTTTTTTTTGGAGGGATTCTTGAACCATGTTAATGCAGTTAGAGTGTGGCGGCTTGGATTGATTGTGTCTTTAATTCCATTAAAAGAAAAAAAGTACCAAAAATATCCTAAAATAAAACCTATGAAATTAACTTGCGTCTATTCCAAAAACAAGATCATTAAAAAAAGAAAAAAAAAGAACAAAAAGAATAGGGATCAAAGTAAAGAAAGCGATGAAATATTGGGCGTTCACTGACCTCAGTGTAGATATGAGCAGTATCAGGAGATGAACTTTGAGCAGGCAAGCCAAGAGCAGCACCAATATCAGCGACAACAGGTTCAAGTTCTTTTACAGAGAGCTTGCCATCTCTATCTCTATCCAGCTCTTGGAACTTATGATCGACGAAACTACTAAACACCTCTTCATTCCCAACCAACTCCATTATATCTGAACCGTCTAGAACTTGTCCATTTCCTCCACTTGTCTCTATCTTTTCTGTGCTTGTGCTAGTACTGCTACTCTTCTCCATTAATTCTCCTGACTTTTCTTTCTTTCTTTTCTGCTTTTCTTGTGAGTTCCTCGGCTTTGTTTTTTGGGTGTGTATCTCGTGAACCACACGAGATAAAGTGAAGGTTTGCTCTAGATGGGTCTCGCTTTGCTACCTTCTCTGCTCCTTGGGCTCTCGGCTTTTAAATATGTGAGAATGGATCACCGCTTTACGAAAGTGTGGCAGATATTTGGCACGTTTGCTTTTCCTTTTGATCATGACGCATTTTTTAGTTTATGACGTCCACTATAAAAAAATTAAAATGATATTTGGTAAATATCATAATATAAATTGTTAATTTACTTTTATATTTTTAATTATATTTATTATATTTTTCAATAGTGTTTAAAATTTTAATTTGTTTGAGTGGAGTGCCAATAACCAGAAAAAATATTTAGAATTATATGACCTGCCTGTTCTATTTTTAAAAACTTTATTTATTTATTTATTGCATTTCATGAAGCATCTTTTTGTGAAACAATTTGCTAATAATCGATAAAATTAATTGAAATAACATAAAAGAATTAAATATTATTTAAAAACATAACAAATGTAATTAAAAATAAAAAAACGTATAAAAAACTCATATTATTATATAAAAATATATTAAACTATTTATTCAAGAAATATTCACATTCCTTGCTATATTTTTTTAATATAAGAACTTATAGAATATTATGTACAATCACAAACTAGAAATATATATTTGTAAACATTTTTTAACCAATTTTCTCGTATCAAAAATAAATATTATTTTTATAAAAAAATCATCATTTTTTTTAAAAAATTGGTATTTTAAATAAATATCCACAATCGAAATTATATATTTATAAAAAAAATTATTGTTGGTATCTCCTATTAGTTTTAAAAAGAAAAAAGATAGGATAAGATGTGATGCTTAGCTTCACAGATCAAAAATTGGATGGAACTGTATCCATCTAAAAAGCTCTGTTAAACTTGTATTTATGAAGAGTCATGGATCTTGGATTCGTTGCCCTCAAGTTAGAATTTCATGCCTAAATCATTGACGTGTCACCTCACGAATTATTGGTAGCAAAATCGTTCATGGAAAATTATTTTCTCAAGAATTCAATAATTAGGGTCCATATGTCCACATAGTCAGGGTAATGGGACATACAGAAAACCGCTTCTTCTATTGATAGCTCATAATTTTCAATCATTTCGTTTAAGACAAAAATGCTCCTTCTTCTTTTTTTTTTTTTTTTTTGCCCAAATAACCTTCTTTTTTTTTAATGAATATATAAGCCAAATGGCCAATAAATAACTTATAATTAATAAAAAAAATTATAAATGATAACAAAATCCCCTTGAAGCTTAATCAGTACGATTAGGCTTAAATACCGAAAAAGGTAGGAATTTGAAGATAGAACCAAACAGGCCCTTGAACCAAGAGAGTGGCTGGTGACCACTAATCATTTGGGTGGATAGGACACGTGGGGCGGTTAGGGAGCCTCCAAAATAAAAGGTTAGATAGACCTACCAAACACCTACAGTCCTTGCATCCCACTGTGCTTTTTTGCACTTTGGTCGGCGCGTCTTTGATAGACGTGTGGACGGTCAGTCTAATCTGCTTGCCCCTGTATTTGTTTTTTTATCTTTTCTTAATTTTACTTTACCAGATATTTTATTAATGTTGAGATAAGCTTCGTATGTTGTAACTATTTTATTTTATTTTATTATCAAACATAGGATAGTCATGTTGAGATTAAACAATATATGAGGATCTTTTTTAACCGATTTGAAGTTTGAAACACAATAATGGGCTTTGAAATTCTTTCACTTAAATTATTTGTACTTTCGGATCAATTTTTTCACAAATATCGAAATAAGATTAATATATTTTCATTTTTATAATAAAAATAAAAATAAAAATAAAAACGAGCTCTAATAATGAACGAGGAATACAAACATACCTCTCAAGTTTGGAGGCAGTTGTATGGAGTCTCCAAAATGCCCCAACATTACCGTAATGATGGCCTAACAAAAGAATTGCCAAAATTAAATCACGTGGTTTCACATTTGTCTTGTGATTTGGCATCTCGATGTTTAGCCTTGTCTGGTCCTGCCTAAATTATCTAATGAACGTAAAAATTGCTCAATGGTTGCCGAAATTACACCAAAGGTCGCTGTGAGAACTATATTGCAGCTAGATGCCCTTATGGTCTAGGCACTAGTGTTCGATTTTATACTTAAATATAGATTAACATTGATTGCGTATTTTATATTTTATTAAATAAAAGATTAGAATGTATAAGTTAGAGATAATAGCTGGTAAGATTCATAATTAAGTTGTAATCCATTATGTTTATGCAATATAGTTAGTCTCAATTAATTAAATAAGTATGATGTTTTATTTATTATTATATGGCTTGTGATATTTGAACTCCGAGATGGGAGGATCCATAAGTGTCTCAATTAATTGATTTCGAGAAACAAGGGAATGAATAAGTCTTAGGCAGATATCAAATGTACTTTGAAGGCTTGATTTGATTGAGAATTATTTCTGTCTATGAACGTTGAGCAACTTGGTGTTAAAAGAAACTTGACAAAAGAAAATTCTTCTAAGTTATCACATAGATGTCTAGGGAATAAATCTAAGAAAATAGCTGAAAGATTTGTTAAGAATGAGATTCCTCGTACTCTAGATTTTGGTGATTTTGAAACTTGCATTATGTTGATTGTATTGGGGAAAAATTAATCAAGTCTAATTAGAAAGGGGCTACTTGTAGTCAAAATCTTCTAGAGATAATACATATAGATATTTATGAACCTCTTTTTCTTATTTTATGTGAAAATAATATTTTATCACATTCATTAATGATTACTCACAATATAGGTATGTTTATTTGATTCATAAAAAGTTAAAAGTACTTGATAAGTTTAAAATATTTAAAATTGAAGTTGAGAAACAACTCATTAAAGATATTAAAATTTTAAGTTCGGATAGTGGTAGTAAGTATTATGAAAAACATGGGGATATTGATCATCATATGGAACCTTTTGCAAAATATTTACAAAGTTGTGGGATTGTTGCACAATATGCAATGCTTGGTACTCTTGAAAAAAATGGTGTGGCTGAGTGTTGTAATTGCATTCTTAATTATATTGTTAGGTTTATGATGTCTAGGACTAAGTTTTTCAAGTCTCTTTAGGGCGAAGCTCTTAAAACCACCATGTACATCCTTAATAGAGTACATAGCGAGTTGTTTTAAAAACTCTTTATAAATTGTAGATGAATGGAAAATCTAGTTTGAATTATTTTAAGATTTGGGATTGTCATGCTAAGGCTAAATTTACAATCCTTTTAAAAAGAAATTAGATCATAAAATTTCTCATTGTTACTTTATTGGTTATCATGAAAATTCTAAAGATTATAGATTCTATTATCCTAATCCCAAAAACAAGGATTGTTGAGTTTGCTAATATAAAATTTTTAGAGTATAATGTTGGTGATTGTGATGTTTTTATGATAACGAGAGAGTCTATGATGCATGAACCAACTATTGTTTCATCCTTCTTAAAAAAATTAATGTTGTTTGTTAGCCTATAGAGCTTGATCTACCAACTATGATTGATCCATCTAGTATAGATCCCCAACCTATTGAAATTCTTGAGTATAATGAAAACGTTATTGTATGGAGATTTTAAAAATATAGATGGCTAACTTTGTTAGATCACATACTCTCAAACTATTAATAATATAAAGTGTGGTAAATAGGTTGATGTAATTAATGATAAAATGAAATCCATATCCGGTAATGAAGTTTGGGAATTAGTAGAGCTTTTGTAAAGTTTTAAAACCATTGGTTGTAAATAGTTATTTAACACTAAAAAGAATTATGAAGGACATGTTTAGCATTTTAAAGCAATGTTTGTTGCTAATGGATATACTCAATAAAAAAGGAATTGATTATATTGAAATTTTTTCACTCGTCTCTTCTAAGGATCCTTTTAGGATCATTATGATTTAAACTACACACTTCGATTTAGAGTTCCATCAAATAGTTTTCGAAATAATTTTTTTGAATGGAGATCTTTTTGAAGAGGTATATATACAACAACCTAAGGGATTTCAAGAAGTTGAGAAAGAACATATGATATGTAGACTTAAAAAGTCGATATATGGACTCAAACAAGTATCTAGATAGTGGTACTTAAAGTTTCATAAAGTAGTGTAATCTTTTGAATTTATGGAGATACATTTGATCTTTGCATATATCTCAAGATTAATAAGAGTAAGTTTATTTTTCTTGTTCTTTATGTTGATGATATATTGCTTGCTAGTAGTGATTGGGATTACTTCATGATACTAAGAGAATGCTATCCAAGTTTGATATGAAAAATCTTGGATAGGCATAATTATTTTAGGTATATAGATTCTTAGAGATGCATCTCGAAGACTATTGGATCTTTCTCTTAAGAAATATATTGAAAAAGTGTTTAATAGATTTAATATGCAAGATTGTAAGTCTAAAAACATACCTATCTATAAAAAAAGCTAATTTAATTAGAGATCAATGTTTTAGAAATGATGAGAAAGAATCAATGAAAAATGTACTCTAGCATTTTTGGTAGATTGATATATGCTAAAATTTGCACAATATACGATACTGACTTATGCAACTAGTGTGTTTAGAAGATATTCTTCTAATCCTAGACATGATTATTATTTTATAAAAAAAATTATATTATATTTACATATAAATTGGGATCACTTACTTATCTATAAACAAGTAGATGATTTAAATTTATTGGTTACACTCGGTGCAAATTTAGTTGATTATTTAGATTATCACAAAACAACAATAGGATATATTTTTATGTTGGCTTGAGATGTTATTTCAAGGAATAGTTCTAACACAATAAGTTATTGCATCTTTCGCTGTGCAAGTTGAGACAATGGCTTGTTATGAAGTGGGGGCACATGCTAAGTGGCTAAGAAATTTTATTTTAAAGGTTAAGGTTGTTGATTTCATCTTTTTGTAATGATATTGTTGTTTTTCATTTCTTTAAAAATACAAAGAATCCTGGTGGTGCAAAATAAATAGAGTATAATTATTATAAAGTTAGGAAAATGATTGATAGTGGTGACATTAGCGTTAAGGATGTCGTCATAGAGGCTATAGTTTCGATCTACAAACCAAAAGGCTTAGGCCTATTGATTTTCGTTGATTTCATCTTTTTGTAATGATATTGTTGTTGTTCATTTCTCTAAAAATACAAAGAATCCTGGTGGTGCAAAATACATAGAGTATAATTATTATAAAGTTAGGAAAATGATTGATAGTGGTTACATTAGCGTTAAGGATGTCGTCATAGAGGCTATAGTTTCGATCTACAAACCAAAAGGCTTAGGCTTGTTGATTTTCTTAAGCATATATGTTGAAAGCATAGGTATTGTTATTTATTTTGATGTAATTGGTTAGTAGTATTTTATTTTATATATATGACTATGAAACTTTGAATTTGATGTAATGAAATTATTTACCTATTTATTATGCTTATTGATTGGTGAAATTGATTGTGTTTGCACATGTCATTGATATATTTGGTGTCTTATATAAACTCATGCATGAATCTTATATATGGATATCCATATATATAAACAATGTTTGATGTTTTGAATTGAGACCTCAAGGTCTTAGTCTCGAAATGTTAATATTATAATATTTTTAATAGCATATTTTATTTAGATTCGGTATAGAAGTGTGCTTCTTTATTAAATTGTATTATGGTGTATTAAAATTGGAGAACTAATGTGAAATTAGAATGCTACACTTATTTTGGATCATTGTGCTAACTTTTCACACTACATGCATCTTATCACACCATGGAGTTTATGTTGTTAGGTTATTAATATTTGTGGTTACATACAATTTTATGTCCATAAAAGGTGTAATGAATGTTATGGTTCAATACTAATAATACTAATGGATCGAATTCTAAATTGAAACGTTGATTCTCCGAACGATATGTTTATGTGACCATTTAAATTATCTTAACTAGAGAGCCGTTTTATAAATTGAATATATATATATATATATATATATATATATATATATATATATATATATATATATTATCCAAGTGAAAAAATGTTAGATTTTATACTTAAATACATTCTAATATTGATTGTAGAATTTATGTTTTACTAAATAAAAAGATTAAATAAAAAGATTGAATGTATGGTTAAGAGACAATAGAAGATAATGTCTATTGTTGAATTGTGATCAATTAAGTTTATAAACTACAATTTGTCTCAATCAATTCAACGAGTGTGATGTTTTATTTATTTATGTAGGGCCTCTTATATTTGGACTCTTTGATAGGAGAGTCCTCTTTAATGGGAGAATCTATAAGTAGTGATTTATTATTAGGACTGGTCCCTTTCACATCGTAACCCTAACTCTACAAATATATATTTACAGGTGGTGGTTTGTCCAATTGAAAACTACGTTTGAGTTTTTAGAGAGTGAGAGGAAGATCTAGATCCCTAAATAACTCTATAATTTTGTTTGCTTTCTTGAAAATCAAATTTATTTTTTCGACAGCATGAAAACACAAGATCAAATTTATTTTTTGACATTATGAGTAGGCAACTTACTAATATCTATTAATCTAATTTCTAACATAAAAATTCTCGAGTTCATAAAATCTAGTAACTACTAGGTCCTGCATGGAGGCATAATCATGGTCCTTTTCTCTGGTCCTGCATCAGCCAGTAGTCTCATTCTTCAGAACAAGTTAAATAACAAGGAATGTTACGCATAGCATCCATTCAAGCTAGGACCATGTAATTGATTCCTTGGCCTTTTGACTTTGGACTTTCGGTTGCCCTGATATGTCCCGATGGAAGCAGGCATTGCAGGGACCATTAGTTGAGGGGCACTTAAAAGATCGTACCAACACTGGTATAAAATTTGCGTGGAGTTAGCAGCTTAGTAAGGAATACCATTGATCACAAGATCGTTGGCATCAAGTACTGAGCCTTGAATATTTATTACCGGTGTTCACAATAGAACTTGCATGCATAGCCAAGTAACAATTCCCAAAAACATGCCCTAGCTAGCTAGATTCAGTGGACCTGAGAAAGAACTTAAAATCTAAGTTCCAAGAAAATTCGGTGCTTTATATATAATTGATTTCAAATAAAATCAGAACACGCGCAAAGAATCATGCAATAATACTGCTTGTATCTAGTACAGAAATTAGAAGTTGCCATGGTCTTGATTATCCTTAAATTAGTCATGTGCAATTGTAAGTTTCCTACCAGGGCATGCAGCAACTCCTGATTCTGCCATACTGATGACCTCAAACTTAACTTCGGTCTACGTACGTTTCTCCTTGCATATTCCCATCTACCATGACAAGTTTGTATCTACAATTTATGCAAAGGGGAGAGATGATGCTACCAACAGTTTTCTGAAGCCCAGGATCCAGCATTTACATGAAGGTAAGCAACTAGGATTTTGAGGGTTTTTGTGGGCTCTGGAACAGTTTCCATCTTCCATGTTTTAGCTGGACAGATTCCTTTGAAACAGTTTCCTGCCGGGGGGAATCTGAATCTCCATTCTCCAAGGATAGCATTGGTTCACTTGGCTGTTCTTCCAATTCAGTACTTGCTGGCTCATGTGACTGCTGGGACAAAGAAGCACTACTAGATGAATGTAACTGATGTTCTTCGGGCTGTTTTTCTGTAGTAGTCTCGCTAATTGAACTGGATGCATAAGGTTCTCCATTTTTAGCATTTGGCCCTTCTTGCTGCAGGAACAGAATTCACATATTGGAATCAATTATTGTGGCTTTAAACATTACTGTACTAGAATCATTGGATTCAAAATGCTGGGACAAAAATAGCTTAACACACTAATGATTAGACGAAGCAATTCTTCTGCTTTCCTATCAGATCAGAATGAAGGAAACTATGTAGGCAAAATCAAGGCCATAGTAGAAGAAAGGTTACAAAATCATCAACATAAATAAACTTGCTTGAGGTTACCTGATCAGAATGAGGCAGTGATGCTGATTGAGAAGAAACATACTGCAAAATTTCAAAAAACTTTTTCTGTCCATAAGCTGCAGCCTTTTGCCGATAAATATGGGCAATCTTCTCAGCCTTCATCCTCAACTCCAACAAATTACGATCGATCTCTGTCTCGTGTTTTGCCATGAAAGGCCGGAAAAAAAGTTGTAAACATATTCTGTTCCCTGAAGCAGTGGAAACAAGAAACAAATCAATCAGGAATTCAGGATAACTAATTAAAAATGGCAGATACCCAGCCGTATGATTAATTAATACGTACTCTCGTTTTCGGATGCCAAAGATACATAAAGAATCCCAGCTTTGCTTCACTGTACATAGGTAGCCTTCCAAGACAAAAACACCAAAACCAGAATCATAGATATAACAGAACAAAATAAATTAAATACAGAAAACACACAATAGTTTCAAGACACCACTACCAAGAGATGAGATGATCCCCTACTCTCTCACAAACTGTAAGCACTGCAACTAAAATCCTACAGAAATTTGAAAGAACCATGTCAGAACTGTAATTAATTTCTTTTAAAACATTAGAAAAATTCTTCTGATGAAGTGCGAAAACGCATACCAGTACCGGCACCAAAACAGGAGTTGTTCAATATCTTTACTGTTTTTCTCCACCTTTTTAAAACACTCGTAAGCCGGATAGGCATAGCCAAAAATCATACTGTCAAATTAACATACATCAGCATCCCAGAAAAGTAAAAAACGTTGAACTTGTAAAATAGAATGGATGTTGAATTGAATCAGTTTAGTTGCATACAGAAGTGTTCTGGACAGAAATGATCCAATCATCTTGTTTGCTTAACATGTAATCCTGTCGACTTTGTCAAGCAATCCAATCTGAAATCCAAGACAGGCAAAAATAAATATCAAGTCGCTAGATAAACAGAAGGAATAACGCTCTATCATAAAAAATCAAAGACAGAAATAATGATCAAAGTCGCATTGCACCTGAAGTACAATACTACACTATACTTCTTTTTTCTTGTCAAATAGAAATTTTCATTCCTTGAATGCCAAATGAAGTACAAAAATTAGAAATAAAACATGGGTTAAACCAAACACTAAAAAATTCAAAAAACATAAACCGAAGCCAAAACATAAACAATGCAACAGCCACAGGACAATTATTTGAGTAACAAATAAAACAAGAAACGTTAAATGAAGTTAGTCCAATACAAGTCTTTTTGCTAATCCATCATCCTAAATTTAGCATATGATTCACTAATGTACTAAGAATCTCAAAGGGACCAGAAAACAATTCATTGTGTTGCTGCAGCTTCTTGTCTAGCAAACAGGACACAAAAAATATTTTAACATGGAATGCTCTATGTTAAAATTTCTTTAGGATCTTTCTGAGAAGACAATGTAGCCAAAATTTGCGAAGTGAACATTACTGTGTATATAACAGATGATTGAATTGTATGCTACCTTGTTTAATGATTGAAGTCGAGGAATTTAAGAAAAAAAGTCATTGAGAAATTGTTGGGGTAGTAGTAGTTTTATATAGGATAGTGCAAAGAACTGGACCCGATGAGAAAAACTGCTTTGGTCACGAAACGCCACGAATAGGAGTGTATCTTTTGGTTTGAATTTAGATATACAGTTGTGGCCACGTTTGCTCTTGGGCTTGGGAGGTTGGGCTAAATAGAAAACAGCAGAAAGTTTCGAAATTATATAAAATTAGACTTTACCATGGGCTGCTTGGTTGACAATTAGGCCCGAAAACTTAGTTTCTCCGTTGTTCCAAGTTTCTGTTCTTTTCATGTTTTAAAATAAAAGGAATTTTATAGGATGATTTGAATGATACAAATGTTATCTTTTTATTTATTTTTTTTAGTTGCTTTCGGTATCCTCATCTCGTATTGGAGAAATGACTAATCATATTTAGGATAGAAGCGATAAAATTTAACTTCTCCCAATAAATAAGATTTTAAAATTCAAATTTTATACATTGAAAAAAAATTTATTTAAAATTTATTTTATTTATTCTTATTTTTTTATTATTTTAAAAACCGCTCCCTACCATCACTCTTATTGTATCGTTGCCTATTCTCCGTTCATGTTATTCTTCATGACTGCTTTTACTTTTTACTACTATGATCCTTACAATATAACACTATCATTGTCTTTATAATTTCTATAATTAGTACATGTATATCGGTATATATGTCAAATATGCATAAGTTTTATTAAATTTCAATCTAGAATGTCAAATACGATGGTCATAATATGTTAATTTGTAATAATTCAAGCTTTTGATTGAAATTAAATAAATAAATAAAACCTTCACCTAGTTCAATTTGATAACTAAATGAACTATACATTGAAAAAAGTAAAACATGGATTTCTTAATTTGCAAGGACCATATCGAGGGACTTTAAAAGTTATGTAATCCAAAAAATAAACTTCATAAGCAATATTCTAAACACTTACTTCATGGTTTTCCAATATACAAGTATGGTTTTTGGAATTTCTTTTAAATGCAAAACTTTTGAAATAGAAAATATATGGGTTCTGACCTCAAATTATGATGCAACAAGACACTAAAAAATTCTTATTTGCTTAGAATTTGGAGAAAACACATACCTTATATTTTTTTCAAAGTTGGCCCATTTTGATTTTCAAGTTTATCTGCACTATGTTATCACCATATATTATTTTCGTAATCAATATTAAACGTTGTTATCATCTTATCTAATGAATAATTATAACATAGTTATAATCATAATATTATTTATACTTGCAGGAACCATTTATTATGAGTATAAAATATAAAATTTTAATTTCTAAGAAATAGAAACTAGAGATAATGAAGACGGAATAATTTTTTATTTGAAAAAAAAAACAGAAAACAATTGCAAGCAAACCCTTTAATATATTTGCTTATTGTAGATTTTAACTTTTTTTAGTCTTGAGAATACGAAAGCTGGAAGATAGCCTCAGACCCAAGACTTGAAAAGTCGGCCCAGAATGGGCCCAAAACAAAAAGATTTAAGTACAATCCGTAACAAATCATCGGAAGCCGTTAAAAAAAAGATTCAGTGCCACGACGCCACGTAAGCAACAATATCCAAATTTCCGTTAACCAAGAAGGCAAGAACCTCCATACGATACAAAATCATCATCGTTTCTCTCGTCCCCAGAAGTGACAAACTTCACTCTGCTATCCTCCCTTTACTCTCTTCACTTTCTCTGATAAAATTTGAATGGAGCTTGCAAAATCACAGATCCTAACCCTAACTCAAACCTCCACACTAACCTCTATAAATCAAAGAGGTAATCGTCAATTTCTCGGTTGCTTTGGCCACAATCTGATGAGACCTCCTGTTGGTGGTCTACTACTTCGATATCGGGGAAGGAAATTGCGTGTTCAAAGAGATAGGAATCAGAGGTTCTTAGTTAAGGCGTCTTTAGATAATTCGGTTCTGGTCGTTGTTGCTGTCACTGCATTCTCTGCTTTTTCTCTTGCCCACTTTTATCACTACATTAATAGCAACATCAAGAAGAGCAAAAGGAGTACCTCTAGCTCTACTGAGGTACAACTCAAAATTCAGAGTCTCTCCGCGTTTTTTTTATTTATTGAATTTCTAAATTTAGTGATTTATTGTCTATTTTTAGGAGTCTAGAAGATATGGAATGGCGAGTTTAATTGTCTAATTAATATTTAATTTTCATTTATGTAACTTGTTCAAGTTTCCTTTTCGGTGGAAAAAAATTGTGAAGTGTAAATTGGTTTAATTTAAGTCTAGTTTATAGTAAAGTTAGCATAAACAACATGAAGAACAATCGGAGTTTTGATGAGGTAAATTAAAATTGAGAGTTTTTTTTTAATCAAAATTAAAGAGAATTACACAGTTTTTTTTTTATTCTTCTTGAATTTTCTTATTTTAGGACAATTGTTTAGTGACGTAGGTGAATTTAAGAAATAGAATCAGTTTAATTTTTAAATTTAATTCATTTTATGCTACTACTTGCCCAATTTACCTTTTTGGGTAAATTTGCAATTTAATTGCGACGAAACATTCTGAACCAGATTATTGGAAGCCCGTTTTCGTATTTTGGAGAGACCCTTGAAGTAGAAAGCAAAGAATTTGCTGATAATACAAGTGAAAATAGCCATATGTTTGAGGAAAAAGAGACACGTGTACAATTTCAGAAGACTGCATCAGTGCATGATAGTTCTTTTTCAATGAAAACAGTGGAGTCTTCTGGTGATACTTTTGTTGCTGCTAACGGTTGTGATCGTGTGGTTGTTGAAGAATCTGAAGTTGGTGGTGCTGAGGCATCTCCTTTTCCTTCTGTGCTTGGTGAATCAGGCTCTGCGCTACCTCTTAATTTTGCAACACAAATGACTGAGTTGACATTGGAAAAAAGTGGGGAAGAAACTGAGTTTGGTTTTGAGTTGTCTGAACCGGCGGTAAAGGTGAAGTCTAGTGCTGTTTCGGTTCCTGTAAATAACGAGTCTGTTGAAAAGGCTGGGCTTTCTAGCTATTATGGTGCCATTAGCGAATCTGTTAGAGAAGACCTTTACACCTTTTATGGGGCAAACCAATCAGTGGTAGAATCTGCATCAAATTTAGGTTTAAAAGAAGCATCTTCTCATACCTCTCTGCTTAAAAGCAAACGATTTTCTTCCTTGAAACTGAATGCTGTACTAGGGAGGGAAGATTTATCTGCTCAGCAGTCTCTTCAAGCTGCAGGTTCTGAAATGGAAAAACATATAGCTTCTTATTTTAATTTATTGTGTATGATACCAGTTTCACACTGAAATTCTCATTAACTTGACCTTTGATTTTCCATCCAGATTATGTCGAAAAAAGGATTCCTCTTGCACATTATAAAGGAGGGTCGTTTCATAAAATTAAAAATTTTGAAAAAAGCAGGGGATTTCCAAGAAACAAGGAAATAAAACATCCAATTCCGGACCACCATTTGAAACTCCCACAGGTTCCCTATCCAAATGGCATTAATTCTAAAGAAAAGGACCATCCTCCAGAGGAATTCAATGCTTACAATTGTTTGCTAAGAGAGGGGAGGTGATTCTTAACATTCATCCTTTCACACTCAAAAGTTTGATTTAAAATCAAGGGCCCATAGAACGAAGTTCTGAATATTTTTATGGGCAGCGGAAACTTGACTATCATGATATTACTTTGGTAATTTGATCTGTTGTGTATTTTTTGAAACCTTGAGCTTATCCTTGAGTTATCTGTTAGGTTAGCTGAGTCTGTAGATTTGCTTGAAGATATGGAAAGAAGGGGTTTGCTAGACATGAACAAGGTAATGTTGCATGCTTTAGCTGTTACTAAATGCTTTCTTCTTCTCAACTTAAATTTTGGTAACTTGGATGCCAACTTGATAATTTTTCTGATCCAGGTTTATCATGCAAAGTTTTTCAAACTCTGCAGAAATCAAAAGGCTATCAAGGAAGCTTTTCGTTTCTGCAAGCTGGTTGAAAATCCAACCTTGAGTACATTTAACATGCTTATGTCCGTGTGTGCTAGTTCACGAGATTCAGAGGGTAAGCCCATTTTTTTGAATGCTTAGCACTTTGCCAGAATCTCTACTTCACGTATTGTCCATGTGCTTCAAGCTATGTCTCTATTGTTTGTTTAGGAGCCTTTGAAGTTCTAAAACTTGCCAAGGCTGTCGGATTGAAAGCTGACTGCAAACTTTACACAACTTTAATATCAACCTGTGCTAAGAGTGGAAAAGTTGATGCAATGTTTGAAGTATGGTAACTTCTTTGCTTTTCCTGGTTTAGATTGCTGAATATCATTATACTACCATTTATCAGTCATTTATGCTACTACTAATAATGTAATATTGGCTCTTTTATTTTCATCCTTATTCTGTTCTTGCTATTCTGCTATTAAGGCTGGAAATTTTGCTCTTGTTGCTGTTGTTTGATGGGCACCGTCCATTATAGTCTAAGGGTGGCGATAACGATTCCACCATTAATGTGCCCATCCATTATCGAATAAAAGATGTTGAAAGCCTGAATTCATTATGATTATGAATGAATTACAAGTATCCTGATTGTAAGTAATTGGTCTAGGTGTTCCATGAGATGGTTAATGCTGGAGTTCAACCTAATGTTCATACTTATGGAGCACTTATTGATGGTTGTGCCAAAGCAGGACAAGTTGCCAAGGCATTTGGTTCTTATGGGATAATGAGATCTAAGGTAACATAGAAATAATTTTCTTGCTATTTTTCTCGTAGAATATACCTTATCCCAATAATGCATACTCTTAATCTGAGAGAAATTTTTGCATATGGCTGTCATTTCATGCTCTTGTTTAGTTCTGCATCCTAATTTTAAAGTGATGTTCATACTGACAAGATGCTTTATACAGTAGAATGTGAAGCCAGACCGAGTTGTCTTCAATGCACTCATCACTGCTTGTGGTCAATCAGGAGCAGTGGATCGTGCCTTTGACGTGTTAGCAGAAATGACGGGTGAGGCACACCCTATTGATCCTGATCACATCACTGTTGGCGCACTGATAAAGGCTTGTGCAAATGCTGGTCAGGTGAGTGTATTTTTTACACTTGTATTCCCTTGATAACTTTGTTGAATTGATACAGAGTAGTATGCTTTGCTTTTAGGTTGACCGGGCACAGGAAGTGTACAACATGGTCCATAAATATAACATCAAAGGCACTCCAGAAGTTTATACAATAGCTGTTAATTGTTGCAGCCAGACTGGTGATTGGGAGTTTGCATGCAGGGTGTATGATGACATGACAAGAAAAGGCGTGGTCCCCGATGAGGTGCCTCTTTTAATAGTAGATTGATTATTATATCTCTATTGAATATTCATTATTGTTTTAAGATCATTATGTTTTAATGCTGATGGATCAGGGTAAAATTAGTAATAATTTTAGTTGGCTTGACAATAGTTCATAGAAGGGCAGTTTGATCTTGTGAATAGTGCGCTCGACTTGTTTGCTAGAAGTACAGGGCGCCTTTTAATAGGCCTCATGGACTTGGCATTTATTGCTGTTCTTAAAAACACCCTGCTTATAAAGCACGAAGCTATCTTACTCAAGTTTATTCTTTCATCCAGATGTTTCTCAGTGCATTGATAGATGTAGCAGGCCATGCTGGAAGGGTGGATGCTGCATTTGAAATCGTACAAGAGGCCAAGGCTAAAGGAACACGACTGGGAATTATACCATATAGCTCATTGATGGGAGCTTGTTGCAATGTATGTCTTATCTAGTTGTTCCTGTAGTAAAATGTTACTTGGTACATATATATGGTTTGGTTGTTGGTTTCAAGTCATTGTCTTGCAGTCATAACAGAAAAACCCGTTGTTAATTTCAAAAGCTATAAATCATTCTTTCATGCACAATGATAGATTATATGATATCTTGGTTTTATTATGACATTGAAGGTATCATTAGAGATTCCCATTGGTTCAATTGTACTCTCATCCACATTTGTCATTGATTTTATGAATATGATTAACTGATTTTCTAAGCATCAAACATTTTCTAATATAGAGAGACCATAAAATGGAAAAATAGGAGAAGATAACAACTTGTTTAGAGGTTATGCAATTTTTTCCTCGTATTAAAATCTGGAAATTGTTTAAGTTGGAGATCCTGCATGATATTGATCTTGGTTCCTTCTGTTTTCAGGCCAAAAACTGGCAGAAGGGACTAGAGCTTTATGAGGATATAAAATCCATGAAACTAAAGCCAACGGTGGCAACTATGAATGCTTTGATCACTGCCTTGTGTAAGTTGGTATTCATTACTTTCTTGTTTCAAAATAATTTGGTGTGCAACCAGTTTATTCTGTGTCAAATAATTTATGCTGCCTTATTTTCTTATTTTATTGCTTCTGTGTTTTATGATTAAATTAAATATGTTGTTTGGACGTGAATGGAATATTAAGGAGCAATCAGTGACAACCAGTCCAATTGCAGTGTCATGTTGTTTTAATTTATGAAGTACGAACATACTTTGCTCAAGTATAAAGTCAGGCTTAATTTATATGCCTACTGAATGATTACTGTTCCTGACATTCTGGCTGAACATTTTTCTGTGGACCTATTTGGACTTTATGGTAAATGATATAATGGATCATCTGCCTATGCAAAATGCCCTCACTGTAAAACATGGTATTTGAAAACGCTTTTCTGGATTTCACTTTGAAGGTATTATAGAGGTAATGATAATTGATAAAACTGATTTCATAATACAAATCTTTGTGTTTATTTTTATACATAGATTAGGATAATTGTGTTCCTTTTTATTACCTAGAAAATGGTAAAAGTCCAGCATTGGATTTTTGGGATATCAAAACAAATTATTACTAAATTGATACTTGTAGTGTTTTTGATGTTTTCTTAGAATTTTATTTTGAAGCTTTATAGTTTAGAGATAATCAACAAGAGAAGGACCTGCAAAATTATCATAACATGAAAAATTCTCAGCATTATTGTTGTGATTTTTTCGTCACCTGCAATTGTAATGCTAGTTTCTCTTGAAGGCTTCATTTCTTTCTACACTATTGATTGGCGTGAGGCACAGATAATTTAGAATTCTTCACCAATTTGCTTGTCATAATGTAATCTCTCTGTTAAAAACTTAAGAAAAGACATGGGGATATTTTGCTGCAGGTGATGGGGATCAACTTCCAAAGGCTCTTGAAGTTTTGTCGGAAATGAAGATATGGGGCCTTTGCCCAAATACCATTACGTACTCCATACTCTCAGTGGCAAGTGAGCGGTAAGCATGGTATTGATTATTTTCTTTGAATATCATTGTTTTGCTTCCCTTACAAACTTTTGGATCTTCTCACCTGTTTTTATCTCCATGCCCCATTCCCCTTCTCCATATTTTTTTCAATTGCAGAAAGGATGATCTAGAAGCAGGCCTCATGCTTCTTTCTCAAGCCAAAAAAGATTTCGGTGCCCCTACCCTCATTATGTGTAAATGCATAGTTGGTAAGTTGGAGGGAATATATGTTCTACTATATTTTATACCTTTATATTCTGTCTTTTGATTGTTCTTGAGCTGCTTCTATACCATGCGTATATTGAGGAATTCAGTAGAAACAGAATTAATTTGGTGATGATTTCAGTTAATTTAGTCTCTTCAATGGAAATGTTCTGTCAAATAATATGAAAAGTCTTTCTTAACATGATTATTTGGAAGGCATGTGCTTGCGGAGATTCGAGAATGCTCGTTCCCTTGGTGAGCCTGTTTTGTCTTTCAACTCAGGATGGCCTCAAATTGAAAACAAATGGTACCTTTTTCCTCCTTTGACAAATTTTCTGTTAGACATGTATCTCTATTTGAAATCCACATATGGATTTTGGTTTAATGTTACGATAGAATAGGTTTTTCTCATATAAACATACATACATGAATATGTTCAATTCATATATTTTCATTCAGGGAGGAAGGGAGGTGTGAACCCTTAATTGCTTGATTGAGTAAAGGTCCTTCATTATCTGAAAGATTCAGAAAATTGGAATTGTTAAAATAGTCTTTGTCTGATGTCACGAGTAGAGTTTCCTCTAAAAAAATTTAAAGGTTCAAATTTATTTCCATAAGTAATGATCCTGGAGTACAGAAGTACTTTTCTGAGTAAGTCCTAATATTTGTTTCTTTTCTAGGACATCGCTGGCCTTAGTGGTCTACCGTGAAACAATTGCAGCTGGTGAGAGGCCCACAATGGAACTTGTTTCACAAGTTTTGGGATGCCTGCAGCTCCCTTGTGATGCCTCACTGAAAAACAGACTTATTGAAAATCTGGGTGTCAGTACTGCTGTCTCATCAAAATGCTCTAACATCTGTTCTTTGGTGGATGGATTTGGAGAATACGATCCTCGTGCTTTTTCCTTACTTGAGGTCAGTAGGCAGCTGAATTCATTCTCAGTGTTCCGACTTCATGCTTTATTATGAATTATATCTGGGAAGTCAGCCAAGAGTTGGCATTTACAGGAAGCTGCTTCTCTTGGAATTATTCCATTGGTATCCTTCAAAGAGAGTCCTATTGTTGTTGATGCTAAAAAGCTGCAAATTCATATTGCCGAGGTGCGTTTTCATCTTTGTAACTAGTTGTTGCTTTGGTGGTAGTTACGAAAAATCTACTAATTATCCTTGAGTTGGTTTTCTTAACTCTGCTCAAGCTCTATCTTTCCTCAGAGCACAATCCACAGGTTGGAAGTTTTTAAATCTAATGTCTGAAGTGGATTGTGATTTTCTACAACCACCTAACATAAATATCCTAAAAAGTTGTTATGTGTTGATTATTTAGCCTCATGATTCTTGAACAGATCATGTGCAAAGTCAGTTTCTTTTGTAATTTTTTTTTCTTCCTGAGTTCCTTTATGATTTTCTTCATTGTCTCATTTTATCCCTCTTATCAGCCGGAAAAAAAGAAGAAAAGAAAAAAACACCCACGATAAACAAGAAGAATCCTCTGTGTTTATTGTCACTGTTCAGGACTTTCTTTCAATGACTTTCTGTGAAATCTTGGCAGGTGTACTTCTTAACTATTTTGAAAGGTCTGAAGCATCGGCTTGCTGCTGGTAAGGATTTATTTTATAGGGACTTCTTTTCAACGGTCAGATATGTTAAATTATTCCCTTGTGAGTTTCAGTTGCTGAAATTTATTAAACTGAACAAATTTTTGTAAAGCATAAAAAGTGAGAATGGATTCGCATTATCATTTTGGAGCTTTTAAGAAAATCTTAACGATCTTGTACTTTCATGTACCTATAGATGATAGCTTGTACTCTGTTCAGTTTAAAGCAACGAGTAATTTTGGTTACTTTTCCATCTTCAAAATTTTTTTCAGGTGCAAAGTTACCAAATGTAACCATTTTACTGCCCATAGAGAAGGCACAAATCATGACTCTTGAAGGGGGAAAACAATCAATGTAGCAGGAAGGTGACAACTACTCCTTATAATAAGCATCATATGCAGTAACATGGTTTCCCGTCCCACCCCTAACTACAGTAATTTATGAAATGTTGCTAGAAAGAAGATTAAAATTAAGATAAGGGTCTAGATTATGGGTTTGCTTTTAAGATTCATTCATCAAAACAGAAAAATTAGAGTTAATAGCTGAGTTAGCAATCATGGCAGTCTGGCTAATTAATCAGTGAAGTAGCTGTCGAATTAAAAGACCAAATGCATCTGTCAGCGCAAGTAAGGTGGGTAGGATTCTACCCATAGAAAAAAGTTAAGCTAGTAGGTATTCTTAATGCTGTGAAACCAAGATTCATGGAAGTATGATGCATTGTTGAAGTTAATAAGAGTTTACAGCAATTCCAAACCATGGGAATGAAAGAAATATACAACACTCATAATATATATATGTATGTTGGAAAGAAATTTATGCATGATGAGGAATGAGAATGGACGAACTGCATGTAATGATTTGAATGCAAATGTTTTGTTTAACAGGATCAGCCAGGCAATTGCATCGCTTTTGAGAAGGCTAGGACTACCTTACCAAGGGAATGAATCATATGGAAGAATTAGAATCAACGGGATTTCCTTGAGAAGATGGCTTCAGCCAAAGCTTGATTCTCCGTTCGGAGGAAAACCTGGAGAATGGGGTACATCCCACTCACGAATAGGAAAAGGAATAAGATATCAGCAGCGTGATATCCGTACAGGCGATTTTTCTTTAGAATAAAAAGACTCAGATTTTCTACTGACGGGAACAGGTTAGAAGAATGACCAATACAACGTTTTTATTTTAGCATGAGACTATGGTTCTGCGGGTGCCTAGCTAGCATTAACGTTAAGCTTCTATGCTTCAAGCTCATATTTCTCATTCACAATTTGTTGTATATAATGTCCTCGGTTACACTGTTTAACTTGAGCTTTGGATTTGCTGTCCAGATTACTCTTGCATGCTATGATGGGGGGTCGGTCTCTCCACAAAACTAAAAATTTCAGAAAAACCAATAGATTTCCAAGAGACAAAGAAGAAGGCATCAGTTCAAAACTGCCAGAGCTCCTCTCCTATCCAACTGGCCTGCCTTCTAAACTAAAGGACCATCCTCCAAAGTTATACGGTGCTTACAATCTGTTGCTAAGAGATGGATATACAAATGATTGCAAATTGAACTTTACGCTCTACAACATTAAATCGGCCTTTGCTAAGAGTGGAAAAGTTGAAAAACAGCATGGCGATTACAGGCTTTCGTTATGAAGTTGCAACATAGAAACTCCTTACAAAATTCTAAAACTCTATATTAGTCAGATAAGGATCAGAGCTCCAAGTAATGATGTAATATGAATTCCTGTTCCTCATTACGGGTTTTTTCTGCACGAAATGTTGCATTGTTTTTTGAAGGGTAAATGATCAAAAACTACTTTGAGAACTTAATCCTTAAACCTTTGTTTAATCTGATTTTGATCCCTTAACATTTTTTTTTTTTTCCTGAAAGTCACCCTTCTGTGCACCTGAAGTCGTTAAAATACGACACCTCTCCTGGAGAAACCCCATGCACGTGATCACAGCCCCTTTGCTCCTTATAATTAGAACTAAAAAGAACCAAAAATGAACATTTAAAAATTGTGTAAAGCAAGAATTGCCCGAATCCGCATAAACGACTCCATGAAACAATTAAACATTCTATATAATCAACTTGATTAGGTGGGTATTTACTATACAATATCTACAAGCCATAATTTTCAGATCTGATGTTCAAAAAAACGAATATATATTTCAGATACGAGGAAATAAAAACCTTAACCTCAAATTCCTTCACAAACCTCTTAACCTCTCCAACTAACAGACGCCATCTGAAACGCAAGAGTTTCTTTTCTTCAAACGTTCTTTTAGAGGTCTTTGTAAGTGGCTATGAAGGGAAGTGGAAGGAATTCTAAGTAGCTCCCTTCTCTGAAATTCCTTTCTGCTTTTTTTCCCCCTCTGCAATGCCAATGATTGGTCAGTGCTCGTGTCAGCATCATTCTTGCCAGTTACTTTCTCCAGCAAGTTTACTCTGCCTTTATTGTTTTTTGTGCTCACTGATGTTGTGTTGCGGTTAAAATTTGCTTTAATGTTATTATTATTTTTTTTTTCCGTGAAGAAGGGTTTTTCGCTATCCCAAATCCTTATGGTGTGAGGATAGACTCACATATATATAGGTCTGTGGTTTGAAAATAGACAATCTGGATCCATTGGCGATGCTGCGTTGAAGTAAGGGGTGTCAAACTGTCAATTGACCCCCTCAACTTCCCAAAATTTACTATTATTGTATATAAAAAAAATATAAAAATTTATAGTGTTTTATGTATTAAATATTGAGAAATACAATGGAAGAAAGGGTCAAATTTGCCTTTTTGCAAGAAAAGTTATTAAATGTTGGATATTTCAACTCTTATATTCTTACAAAAAGAAGAAGACATGATTCCACATTTCATTTATTCTCTTAAATGCTTCCATAATTTTAAACAATCAACATTTTCTATGATTCTCCTTGTATTTTGTTCAACTTATATTTAAAATTCACTTATTTTCTTTTCCATTATTCTCCTCCTAGTTAGGGATGGTAATGGGTATCGGATTTCTAATATATTGTTACCATATTAATTAGTTAAAAAATTTGAATATACATATCCAATTTCAAATTATAGGATGTGAGTATACATTATCCAATTTATATATATATATTAGTATATTAGATCGGATTTGACAATATTCGTACTATTCATTTCTTGGTATGCATGTAAAGATTTTGGATACCCATTCGAGTAGGTTTGTTTGGATATCCATCCAATGCGGGCTAAATTTTCATCCATATTGATCCTACTCTTCCTCACTCTCTCTCTCAAAATCTCAACAGACATTGCAAAATCAGAAACCCTAACCCTAATTCATATCTCCATTTCCTTGTTTGCTTTGGCCACAATCTAAGACTTCGGTGATTAAGGAGTGTGTTATGAAGCATGGACACGGGTACATACAGTGATATATCAATTTCAAAAAAATTAGCAGCAGTGCTAGTACAAGTTCTCTTCCCAAATCACTGAATTCCCTAGCCCGAAGGTGAAAAAAAAATAAAAAAATAAAAAAATCAGACAACTCATACAAAATTTCACCACTTGTTGGACACTGTGGTATTTTTTTTTTTTCGTTTTTCCTAGTCAAATTTTACAAGGAGCAAACCCATGAAATACATCAATGATTTTTGGCTAGGATTTTGATGGTTTTTAGAGGAATTGAAAGTGACAACATCATGAAAGAGAGAATAAATTACCAGGTACGTTTGATATTTGACCTTCAAATTTCTTTGAACAATGCCTTCCTCATGGAAGATTTTCGAGCCTCCATTTATAGACACCCAAAAGAAGGGAAAATAAAATTCCGACAAGTCTACAGCGTACAACCATATCTATTTAAAATGGCTCCTAGTGCAAGAATGACAAGCAAAAAATTGAGAAAGCCTCCAAATTTTTCTTCTGTATTAAAAGGAAAAAACAAAAACAGCCTTGAATTATAATATAGAATATGTAATTCTTAAACAAATCGAAATCTCAGTTGCTATTACAGATCATAGAAAGAAGAGATGAAACCAAAAAATATTCAATCTCATTCTAGGATTTTGTTTATGTACTTACACTTGAAAATCATGATACGTAAGTATTATTTAATACTCCTGGAGACAAGCCCATCTCTGAATATAATCCTCCACTGATTTCTGCTTTTCAAGCTTCCATCTCCCTCTCATTTTATTTATAAACTCCTCTGCAATTGCATCCACTCTATGCTCCTTCCAGTTCTGAGTACGATCCTGATCATCTGATTTCTGATTTTCATGTTTCCAGAGTCCTTTCATTTTATTTATGAACTCCTCCGCAATCGCATCCACTCTATGCTGTTGTGTAGCCCCACTCGATGCAAAAGAGGTATCATCATCGTCATCGTCGTCTTCATGTTCATTATCCTCATTCTCCATCTTGGCAGCATTCTCCTCCACTTTGTTGCAGCCTTCATGATCACTTTTAAGATCATTTGTTGCAAACACTGCTTTCTTGATTTTTCTCTCCATATCGAAGTATTCGGCATGGTCGGGCTCTATCAAAGGAGGCTCCACCGTGTTTCTGGCGTGAATACCGTAGTTAGCCTCCTGGTAGAAATGTTTAAAATGGCAATGGTAGAGGTGGTGGTGTTGGAGGCGATATTGACTGGTTTTATCGAACCGGAATTTTGACGTTTCAAGGCTTTTCAGTTTCTTTTGTAGGGTGAAAATGAATCCTTTCCATACTTTTTTAGGGACTGAACGCTTTTTTTCAGGATTGAAACAAGACATGGTTGCTCGAAATTTTTCTCACAAATCAAAAAGATATTAGGGTTTTTGCATAGTGGTGTGATTTTATAGAGGTTTAATAAGATATCAAAATCCATCAAATATTTACAGGAAATATTTACAGAACTAAATTTTTTATTACACGTCAAAATTAGGAAAATGAGTATACTGCAATCCGGGCACTAAAATGGTAAATAAATCAAAAATGCAAAACTTTCGTTCCAGGCACCTCCCAATGGAAATTTAGTGCCATGCACTAAAATGGTAAGTAAGTCAAAAAAGCAAAACTTTGGTTAAGGCCTCTTTGGATGCTAATTCGGTTCTTGTCGTTTTTGCTGTCCCTGCATTCTCTGCTTTCTCTGTTGCCTGCTTTTATCACTACATTAATGGCAACATCAAGAAGAGCAAAAGGCGTACTCTAGCTCTACTCAGGTAAAACTCAAAATTCAGTCTCTGGTGTGTTGTTTTACTGAATTTAAGAATTTAATGATTTTACCGTCTATTTTTAGGGGTATAGAAGATATGAGATGGCGAATTTAATTGTTTAATTAATTTAATTTTCCCTTATGTAACTTGCTCAAGTTGCCTATTTGGAGGAATCAAAATTAAAGAGAATTACACGGTTTTTTTTTTATTATTCTTTCTTTTTTTTAGAAGAATTGTTTTATGACGTAGGTGAATTTAAGAAATGGAATCAGTTTGATTTAAATTTACATTCATTTTATGCTATTGCCAAATTTACCTTTTTGGTTAAAGTTTGCAATTTAATTGTGTTTTAGTTCATTGCGTGGAAAAATAAGTTCTAATATCTTGCCAATGATGCAGGTGTTAGGTTCTCCTCCGAGTTTTGCATTGTCTCAAGTAGGAAGAAACATTGAGAAACAGATTATTGGAAACCAGTTTTTTTATTTTGAAGGTCTTCATAGAGAGACCCACGAAGTACAAAGCAAAGAATTGGTGGAGAAGACAAGTGAAAATATGCATAAGTTTGAGGAAAAAGAGAGACATGTACCATTTCAGGAGATTGCATCAGTGGATGAAAGTTCTCTTTCAATGAAATAGTGGAGTCTTCTGGTGCTACTTTTGCTGCCTCTTATTTTTGCAACACAAATGAAGGAGTTGACATTGGAAAAAAAGTGGAGAAGAAACTGAGTTTGGTTTTGAGTTGTCTGAATCGGCGGTAAAGGTGGAGTCTAGTGCTGTTTCGGTTCCTGTAAAAGGCTTTCTAGCTATCATGGTGGCATTAGTGAATATGTTAGAGAAGATCTTTACACCTTTTATGGGGCATAACAATAGGTGGTAAAATTAATCTGCATCAAATTTAGGTTTAAAAGAAGCATCTTCTCGTACTGGCCCTCTGCTTTAAAGCAATAGATTTTCTTCCCTGAAACTGAATACTGTACTAGAGAGGGAAGATTTTTCTGCTCAGCAGTCTCCTGAAGCTGCAGGTTCTGCCATGGAAAAACATATATATAGTTGGTTCTTATTTTAATTTATTGTGTACAATACCACTTTCACACTGTAAATTGTACTTAAAAGAATTGACAAAACGATCCAATTGAGAAATATTGTAGGAATTATTTAGAATCTAATCCATAAAATTTATATATTTGGAATGGAATTGAGAATATATACATAGAGAGAGAGAGAGGTTTCTTTAAAAAAAAAAATATAATGAGAAGATTAGTTCGGTATCACTATTTTTAAGGGAAAAAAGGATCATTTTTAAATCCACACACGATATTCCTTTGATTCACAATAATTCGATAGATAATCATTCCAACGTCAACTCCCATTTGTTGGTAGAGAAGAAAGGTTGCCCAAATATATCAACCGAGATGGGTTGCAGAGGCCCAAGACTGTTTAGAATTGCCAGTGGGCTATAGAGATTAAGACCACTGCAGATACCAACTTGGACCTCAGCCATGGTGAAGGAATAGGGATGCAAATGAACAAATATACATGAACTGTACCGGTAAATATCTATTAAAAATATTAAATAAATATTAAAATAGATAAAAATAAAAAATATCTAACCGTTAATATAGTTCTAGGGTATAATTATTCTATTAATACTCATTAATTTATTTTAATTTTTTTATTAATTTATTAAGATATAATTACATAAATTTTAAAAATTAAGGTTCAAAATATTTTTTTTTCAAAAACTATAAGGATAAAAAAATTATAAATAAATAAATAAATGCAAAAAAATTAAAATTTGAAGGATCATATTTTTTAAAAACATCATAAGAACTAAAATGAATATTTTTGATAAATTATTTTTTAATAGGTATTAAATGGATATTGAATGGGTGAGTAAGCTAATTTAAATCTGATATTACTTAGGTAAAGATTTATATGATATTTTTTAATAAATAATGAATAAGATATTTTTTTTATGAATACCATAAAAATTGTATTAATGGATTAGATATCCATTTTTCATAATCAGGGGGGACAAAGATATGGTGCCAATTAAGGTAGGCTTATTGCTGATGTCACTTTTCAAATTGTGCTATGTAAAAATAAAAAAATAATAATAAAAAAAACTTTTGAGGGGTTTAATTCTTAAATAAATCACTGAATTCCCTAGCCCAAAGGGGGGGAAAAAAATCAGACAACTCATACAAAATTTCACCACTTGTTGGATACTTTGGTATTTTCCTCCCCCCCCCCCCCCCCCCCCCTTCTTCCTAGTCAAATTTTACAAGGAGCAAACCCATGATATACAAAAATGATATCAGATCTGTTTAATATTTTTCTATGTTCGATGCGTTGTTTATATCCCCTGACTAGTGTAGTATGAAATTCTACATCGAGCAGTCTGTCATTCTTTTTTGGAAATCTTTGACAAGCTAGAGTTCTTTTTTTTTTTTTTTTAATTACTATCATTTAAACGGAAAAATACTAAGAACTAGAAAAGCCAGTTGATGATACATTAATCAGTTCAATGACAAAACAGAAAAAACAAAAAAAAAACAAAAAACCTATGCAGGAGCCTATTTTTATTAAGATTCTCCTGTACAAGAAACTATACTTGTAAAAAAGAAAGCCCTAACAAAATCGCTGAGAACTTCTTCTCTTCATTCCTCGTTTTGTTCACGAGTCGTGTAACCGAGAAGTGAGATCAATGAAGGCATCTTCTTTGCAAGGAATTGTAAGACCACCCATTGGATGATTGAACCCAAATTCTTCCTCAGCTCGATTAAGCAAGGCTAGGAAAGAAGGATGATTAATATATGATATCGGAACCACAAATCGCTTCTTTTGGAATTCTCCAACATGCACTGCAAGGTGGCCCTTTGGAACATTTGAGTGATTTCCACTAACAAGAGACTGATGTTTGAGAATTTTCTTGGCATTATGAACCACAGAAGGAAAACTAAGGAGACCCATGTCACGAAATATATTGAAAGATTTCAATAGAATTGGTTTTGGTAGATGGAGGGGAGAATTTGCAAGTGAAGTACACCTTGTTGTAGTTAGAAGGGTCCAATGAAATAGTACTTATTGAGATGAGAAACGGGTACATTTATTCCTTCCAAAAGAGACACATCATATGACTTTCCTTGATAAGTACAAGCTCAATGCAGTCTTTTGAGACACTCTGTCTTTTTCATCCACAGATACCAAGACCCACTTGACTCTCGGAGACCCAACTGAGACACACATCCTGGTCCTACCCTGCCGTCACCCAATCTTAATTCTTCAAAACCGACGGCCGTACACTGTTATATTTAAGTACATCTGATACAACTATGATTCTTGTTTTCGAGGTCAAAGAGTGCTCATCCCTGGTGTGTATGGTAAATTAATTTAGCCAACTTTGGAGCCAATTAAAATTCCGGCAGAAGAACTAATAGACTCAGTAGTCACTACCGAGTCCAGAAATTGGCGACCTTTTCGGGGGTTCTTCAAATACGTCAATGATGTCACTCAGTGAATGGTGTATTAAATATTCTATCATGGAGGCCCATATGAAATGGCAGAAATTGGGTCACCAATGAGTGAGCCCAAAAAATTAAAAATGGGCCGGGTAAAATGAAGCAATTACGTCTTTTGACAAGCTCCTGTGCTCTCTTGAGTAACTTTGGGACCCAACTAGCGAACAATCCGCTGCGCTGCTTTGCTCAAGAAAGAAATTAACTGACCCACTCAATAAACATCATCCACCTCCGAATTATGGTGGTGCGACCCGCCCATGGCCCATCATATTTTAACCAAACAAAAACCAGCAGCGGCCAACTAGCTAGCTAGTATGATGCAGGTAATAGGTTGGAGAGGCAACACATCGTAGTGATGGTGTTTCGTTGCGATTCAACTTCTTTTTATTTCCTCTTATAACCAAGCAAGGAATTTTTTTTTACGAAATCAATGATAAGATTAATGAAAAAGGCTAGCGGAGAACTAGAAAAAGATATTACAATCAAACTTAAAACTCGTTAGATCTATAAAGACTAAATTTAGTTAAATAAAACTTTGACCTTGAATCTTTAATTAAATTTACTTAATTTGATAATGAGTAATGCTTTATATATGAAAGATACCTATCATAAATAATATTAATCATTAGATAAGATGGAACAATCAATATATATGCATTGAGAATGGAGACAACTCAACTCCATTAATTAGACTAAGACTAATTGTCCAATTCCCATCTCCAAACTAATTCAAGATAGATTAAACAAAACAACACAATGAAATGAAGCTTTTGTTTTTAATTTAATTAGCCAAAATTGTCTAGTTCTCTAACCACTCAAATTTGGAAACATAACTAATTAAGGAGAAACCTGTAAATCCATTGAGTTCTTTTTTCTTTTGGGTACAACAATCCCTAAAGTTGATTGCCCTTTTCATTTGTAGTACACTCACCACAACCGAAAAATATACTTTATTTATTGTTTTGTTTTAGGTTAGGACAATGTGAATTCCGTATCTAAAGGATTCTATCTATTTCTTCACATGGAAGTTGTCATGATAAGGTCAGGCGAGGTATATCGTATGTTATTTATTTAGGGCAGCGATTTTCAGTGGAACGTGCAATGGTTGACTGACAATGTAACGAACTCTCCCTCTGCATGTGCCATTCCTTAGCACCGTACTGAATATTCACACTGAAAGGGTAGCCCTTAAATTTGCTTTTTAATCACAAGGATTTGTGGTTTGTTTAAACAATATCTAAGAACAGGACATGACTGCATGGGCAGTTATGGGCGCTGGTCACGAACAACATAAGGCCAATTCGATAGTTTATGCATGGTTCCATGCTGTCATGACGAAAAAGAGCAAGGAAAGGAGGAATTAAAAAATAAATCTTGAGAATTGAACTTGTCTAGAAAGTGCATGAAGATACCTCCTATGGATGGTATGTGTTCAGTTCCAACGGCCTTATATTGTACAATAGAAAATAATTATAGATCTAAAACCTAGAGTTTAATTAAAAATCTCAAGTCTTATATAATTACCCCATTAAGTATCCATGCGTAATTATAACGAGTTTGACATGTACTAAAATCCTTTAATCGAATATGATTTTTTGGATATTATTCCATATTAATATTTCAATAATGTACTTGCAAAACATGTAATTTATGTCCAATTTTTTTAGCGGATTTAGATCGTCTTAATCCCAATGATAGAGACTAGCTAGAAATAAGTTTTAAGACAACTCGAATATTGGTTTGCTATATCTCAATAATTTAATGGGAAAATAGTGTTATAACCCTCGAAAAGATGAGAAAAAGGAAAGAAAAAGAAACAGAAAACTTTGAGGAGAGCCTTAGTCAAATTACTTCACACACAAAAAAATAAATAAATAAAATAAAAAGAAAAATAATGAAACGCTATATATCCGTTTTTAAATGTTTCACAGCCTTACTACCTTCATATGTAAGGCAATTGCATGCGATCTATATTTTTAGGCTCATTCCTCCTTCTGCTGAGCTGGAAAAAAGCTGATTTTTTTTTTAATGGTTTGATCATTTTTTTATTGAAAAAATAGGAATTACTTGAGATATCGTTACGAAATATTATAATGACACCTTTTCAAACTATTGAAGCGTACCCAAATTACCAATTTTATACCAGTAACTTCTTTTTGTTTTTTGTTTTTTTGTTTTTTTCTTGAGAAGTGATTTCGTCCTAACCAAATCATACGTAGTCGAGGGGGAAAATTGTAACTATAATTTGTCAACGCACTACGTATATCACCAAAAAAAAAAAAAAACCGTAGTTAGAAAAGGTCCCAAAAGAATGGAGAAGTAGGTAAAAAACTTAATTTTCATTGCTATATCCTAGGCAACCAGTAAAATTCTATACATGGATCAATACAAACTATATACTAGCTAGAAAAATAAATAAATAAAACTAAGCATAGACAACATTGTAAAAGATTTCTCTCTTCTAATTCAACTGGAGATGCATGAGGAATTACGCAACCTAGAGGCAAGATTGATGAAGGCGTCTTCCCTGCAAGGAATCGTAAGACCACCCATAGGAGGATTGAAGCCAAACTCTTCCTCAGCTCGGTTAAGCAAGTCTTGGAATGAAGGATGACTCAAGTATGATATTGGCACCACGAACCTCTTCTTTTGCATTTCTCCAACATATATAGCTACATGTCCTTTTGGTACATCTGCAGGTTGATTTCTACTATGAAGAGACTTCCCTTTGAGCATTTGCTTGACACTGATCATCATGGATGGCAAACGAATACCCATGTTTGATTTTCAGCTTGAGTGAGAAAGGAATGATTTGAAAATGATTTTTTTGGTGAAAGTTGTGCAAGTCTTGTGGAATTGGAAGGCTGGTTTCGGGTCTGTATTTATAGGTCTTTTGGAGAGAGTAGAGTGCCATGCTTTTCCAGTTGGGTGCATGTTGAGCCTATTGGCTGTTTTGCTATTTTGGGTATTATAGGAGGACCCATTTCAACAAAGGTTCACATGGCTTAGCTAAAGGCTATTAAATTGATCATATTAAATGCTTCATAAAACAAATGGCCGTACACAGGTAAGTGAAGAGCAACATTTTCAAGTTGTCCAAAAGATTGGCTAATGAACAGTTTTCTGATAAGACTATAACAGATTCACAAGCTTCTCCTCAGTTATTGTACAAGGATCTGTGGAGTAGTTTATCCTGACAATTTTAATCCCCTGATACAGTGCTAGGAATGAAGAAAAGGAAAAGTAGAAGCATTTGTTCCATCTTGGAGCACTTCATCCTTGCGTAGTTTTTCTTGAACAACAATCGAAAGTCCATTCTCCCATCGAATATTGAAATGGAACTAAGCCCGTGATAGTTAACAGATTAAAGGGACTATATATTGTTTTTGGCGAAGATTCAAGTTCAAACAATTCAAAAAATATATTTTTTAATGGTTAAAGTAATTTTCAGCCAATTTTTATGAATTGTTTTGTTTTTTCAATTCAGTTATTAATAAACCAGTAGATTAATAACTTTTATTTATGGGAAAAAAAATTCTTGATCACATGAATTCGAATTCAAAATAATAATATATGGAGGGCAAATCACTTAGGGCAACAATTTCAAGGGCTACGGGCACTGAATTATTCTCGAGTTGAAAGCAGAACGCTTGGTATTTGGTAATGACGTATATTACCATTGAAATATGCGCTTCAGAGTTTCATTCCTACTCGATGCTGCCATGGTTGTACTACTAGTTCCCCAAAGAATCGTCAGGAATCACTTGAGATAGCTTTGGAAAAGGGGAATTAAAATAAACAAGTATATCTTTTTACGAGTGTGCTCATTCATAAGCACATGGACAGAGACTTGAGAGACTGATCACTCTGACAACTTTGTATATTTAATTTATTAGTTATCTAGACAGGTGCTGTTCGACATGAAAATAATAGAGGGATAGAAATAAAAATAAAACTTTTTATCTTTACGAAGAAAGTGAAAATTAAAATAAAGAATATGAATGAATTTGTTTTAAATAATAATATATTATTTTTATTTATGGTATATTAATTTTTTTTATTATTACTAAATTTGAAAAAAATCTATTATTATTATTATTATTCTGCAATTACTATTTTTTAATTATTATTATTATTATTTATCAAACTACTGTTGATGAAGATAATAAAAAATATATATTATTATTATTTTGTCATTGTTTTTAATCCGCCACTACCACCACCAAAAAATATATATATATATATACTCCTCCCAGTACCACAATCATTTTTATGTATCAGCATAATAATACAATGAGACTAGTTACAAATATGCCAAAAAAACTGTTACCATGCAAGTTAAAAAGTTGAATAAATTATAAGATAGTCTCAACGAGATTCTAATTAAGATAGGCGAAAAAGGAAAATCTATGAAATACTCATAATTAATTTTCCAAAAATATCACATACAAACAACCAATGGATCCCATATTCCGGTGATCGAAATTTTTTGCGATTTTTTTTTGTCAAATTAATGGATACTTCTATGATTAAATTATTTTTCCAATGATTATTTTTATTTGTTATAAAAATCAGATGCTAAAAAATTTAAATTTCATTCCGATTGCTTATTATTATTCTAAACACAATATAAAAATATCAATATTAATTCGATTTTTTAATTTTTATTTTGATTTTTGCATTTTCATTCTAGATATTTTATTTTTGATAATCAAATGATACCTAAAATTATAAATAGAGTGTTAAAAAAAGTATATTTATCTCATCATATCGGGATATTAGGAGTTCGTTTCTTATTTGATACTTTAAAAAAAAAAAAAAAAGATATCTAGATGTTTTATTATTTTATTATTTTTGGTTACAAGATCTGAGTCCATTTTATCCTTTTTGGTTAAAAATGATAATAGTACTAAGAATAAGCATATGTTCATGTGAGATGGCATGAAAGGAATAGCCGCAGTAATGAACAACAATATGACAAAGAAAGAAAAGAATAGAAAACCATGAATTTGTTGATGATTTTTCGGATCTAGCAACCAATCAATTGGGCCACACTGACATCAAGAACATGCCCAAATTAAAAGGCCTCAGAAAGATTTTGTTTGAAAAAACAGTGGGTTGTTTGCTATATTTAGATGTATTATGAATGGACCCTACATATCCAAGCTATCCTCGTGGTATTCTAGAATCGTCCAATTTCTGTAAATAAGGACAAAATACAAGTTGCTACACCATAGAATAGCGTTACTCCACTGCTTTTTTTTTTTTTTTTTGCCCTTTTAACTTATTATTTTTTTCTTGGGAACAATTTTTAATATGTCTCAAACCTATAAAGTTGTCTTAAAAAAAAGAATAAATAACTCTTAACATTGAAAAAAGAGATTGAGCTAATATTGTTTCTCATCCTACCAGCCGTTCCCAACTACTAGAACAAAATCAACATGGGTAGCAATCGATTGAAGGAGATGTTTCTCCAAGTTAAAAATGCAATTCAAAGAAGGTCTACATTGAACTATCATCAGCTTCCAACATAAAAAATCTACAAGGCTAGACGTGCCAAAAGGCCATTTTGCAATTTATGTTGGTGAGGAAAGGAAGCGACTTGTGATTCCAATCTCTTATTTGACGCATCCTTTGTTTCAAAACTTGTTAGGCCAAGCTGAAGAAGAGTTTGGTTTTGATCATCAAATGAGTGGTCTTACAATTCCATGTGCCGAAGATGAGTTCATTGCTCTCGCTTCTCACTTGAATGATTGATGATGAGCGGCTAGATAGCTATACAAGTTTATATTTAGAATGCGTTAAATGCAATCCGTGTTTTGAAATTATTTAATAATATTTATATTAACATAGAAACTTGTTTGACTAACGAGATTTAATAATTATAAGCGGATTATATGTAAGATAAATTATCATTATTCATTAATTCATATGAATCAAATTTTCAATAAATTATTATGGTTTTATTATTATTATTATTATAAACTTGTTAAACTATTAAAATCACACGTTAAATTTATAAATCTAAATAGTAGTAAGGAATCCACATTCTTTTTCAAGCAACTCCTTTCTTCATAAGAATCAACACAAGGATTCAAAACCTATTTTTCAGATTTTAACAATTTGTTGGACCAACATAATCTCTAACCGAACTGCAAAACCATCACTTCCTTGTAAAATCACACATCAAAAAATCATTATCAATGATATTCCAAAACAAAATCAAAATCATACAGTAAAACCATCCAATAAAAAAAAAAAATCAATAACACCTCGATTAGATCCAAACGAATCCAACGTTGTGATAACTTCGCGCATACAAGTGAAGCAAAATGTGGAAAAAAAAAAAAAAGGCCTTTAGTTGGATATTAATTGGTGTGGTTCGCCTCATTTATGACATTGGTACTATGTTACTCGTTTATGATGTGTTCTTATCTCAGACAAGAATGGATGAATGATAGCACATGTAGACATGAGAAGAAGGTTCGATACATGAGAAGTCCTCTGTTCTTACCTAATGATTTGACCTAGAATGTTGGAGTAGCTAGCTAGAGCCGCTTGATCTATAGTGCAATGCCCTATTGCCTGGCCAGTGAGCAGTGGGCAGTGGCTAGCAACCCTTTGCGCATGAACTCAAGGTGAATGTGATTTCTCGACTTCAAAATCAAAGTAGTACGTACTTGCTGTATTTGACTTTTTAAACATATTAAAAAAATTGCTAATTACATATTATATCAATATATTTTATTTATATTTTTAAATTGTTTTTAAAAAATCGAATTTTAATTAAAATATTTTAAAAAAATACATTATTTATATTTTTGATGATTTTTTTTTGAAACAAAAAGAATAATATCTCCACAATTGAGATTTGCCGATCGAGGGAAGCATACAAACAAATCTGATTAAGCACACATCGTTGGGCTTTCTTTTTCGTTAGATTATTTGGAGTGTGGCTATGGGGAAGCTTTTTCCCATTATATTACAACTTCACAAGTTCCTGGGGATTCAAATTTTACTTCACTTCAAAAAGTCACTAGGTACACAAAACATAATGCCAAGTCTTCGTTGGTTATGATGGGTTTTAATTATAGGGCTATATGTCAAATAATAGGATATAAGAAATGATTTGAATATTTCTTAATTTAAGTTCTTTAATTACTTATATATATATATATATATATATATATATAGGGTTAATTAATTTTGTATTTATGGAGTTAGATGGTTAAAATTAAGTTCTAATAAAAAAATTTTAAGATCTATGATGGGTAACCTTTCTTAATTTTATACATTACTCATATTTTATTCGATGCTAGGCTCAATGCATAAGCTCTAGGGCCCCCATAGAAAGGGGGCCCAATTAAAATTTTACTCTAAACCTACATCGGTGAAGAATGAGATAAATTAAAAGGTGCGGCATCTACCTAAGTATGTGACACCATTATTCTCTCTATTAACAAGTCATAGGTACTAGAGTTCTTGCATTGAAAGACTCCTATTGTTCAAAAATATTATTATTTCAACGTTAAAAATTTTACCTTTTCTAGATGTCTTTCCAATTACTTTCTACTTATAAAAGCTTTCAATTTTTATTTTAGTGAGACACTTTTACTTATAGAAAAGTTTCGGAAAAATATTTATGAGTGAAACAATTTTTAGATCTCCAAATTTTGTTATTATATTCCTTTCTTTCTCCAAACAATCAAGGATCTCTTATAAAATCTTTTCTAATTAGCTTGACGAAGAATCTAAAGGTAATTTTTTAATTTATGCAAATAAAATTATGTATATAAATCATATAATATTTTATTTTTTTCTCAAATTACTTTTTATTTTCTCGGGTGATTCTCTCTAGATTTACTTGATCGGATGTGGCAAGCAAATATAATCGAGTGCCAAAGTTTCTTACTCTTTTTATAATTATATTTTAATTTTATTAGTTGAATAAAATGTCTACTAGAAAGTATGAATTTGGATACGAAAAACGTAAGAAAAAAAGATAGAAAAACTAATTCAATCCCAAAAAGGTGCACTTGATAGATTTGTTACTAATATTAAACCCCAAATACTAGAAGAACAAGATAAAGATTTAAATGGAAATATAGTTGAAAAATGTGAAGAAAAATTTGTAGATAACAATTCAAATTCACCAAAAAGTAATGAAGAATATAATGAAAATTTAGAAGATGATGTTTCAATCAATAAAAGTGAAAATATTAATGATGAAGATGCAACAATAATTAAAAATATTTACGATCCAGGCACAATGAAAACATTTATAATCAAAATTGATTGATTTATTAGTTGAGAAATGTTCAATTAGAGAAATTTTAGATTTTCCAAGAGATAAAAATTCTAGACATTTTTCTACAGTTCATTACATTCGAAAATTACCAAATGGAGAAAAACATGATAGAAAATGGCTAGTATATTCAAAAGAGTTAGATAAAGTGTTTTGTTATTGTTGTAAATTATTTAGTTTGAAATCAAATATTCAATTAGCAAATGAAGGGTGTGGAGATTGGAAAAATCTTAGTGCCAAACTTAAAAGTCATGAGACAAGTAATGAACATGCTATTAATATGAACGTTTGGGTTGATGCTCGGATGAGATTGCTTAAAAACAAAACAATTGATAAGCATTTTTACAAGAGAAAATAAATAAAGAGAAAGAGCATTGGAGGAATGTATTATTAAGAATTATTGTTGTTGTAAAAGCTCTTTCAAAAAATAATTTGGCATTTCGTGGTACAAATGAAAAGATTTATCGGGAAAATAATGAAATTGTTTTGAGTTTAATTGAAATGATTGCTTGAGTTTGATCTAATAATGCAAGAACACCTTAGACGTATTCAAAATTGAGATATTCATATGCATTATCTTGGTCATAATATACAAAATGAGTTGATAAATATTTTAGCATTAGAAATAAGAAATACCATTATCGGAAAAATTAAAGAATCAAAATATTTTTCAGTTATACTTGATTGTACTCCGGATGCAAGTCATCAAGAACGGATGTCTCTTATATTAAGATGTGTAAATATTTTGATAATTCCAACAGAAATAGAAGAGTATTTTATATATTTTTTAAAAGTGGATGATAGCTCCGGTGAAGGTCTTTTTAATGAACTTACAAGTAAGATAAAAACTCTTGAACTTGACGTAAATGATGTGAGAGGGCAAGGATATGATAATGGGTCTAATATAAAAGGTAAACATCAAGGTGTACAAAAAAGATTATTAGATATAAATTTTAGAGCATTTTATACACCATGTGGTTGTCACAATCTTAATTTAGTTCTTTGTGATATGGCTAATTCATGTGCTAGTGCTATGACATTTTCTAGAGTGACACAACGCATGTATTCATTTTTTTCTTCTTCTATAAAAAGATAAAAATTTTTACAAGATTATGTTTCTAATTTGACACTTAAGCCATTATCACAAACACGTTGGGAAAGTCGTATTGAAAGTGTTAAAACAATTAGATTTCAAGCTCAAAAAAATAAGAGATGCTTTATATCAATTAGCGAGAAACTAGTGAGGATCCTAAAACAAAAAGTGAAGCCATTTCTTTAGCAACATATGAGATCGAAAATTTTGAATTTCTATTAGGCATGATTATTTGGTATGATATGTTGTTTTACGTTAATACGGTTAGTAAATATTTACAATATAAAGATATAAATATTGCTCTTGCAATAGATCGCTTGAAAGGTCTTATTTCTTTTTTTAAAAGCTATAAAGAAAATGGGTTTACATCTTCTATGACCTTGGCTAAGGAAATTGCAGAGCAAATGAATATAGAACCAAAATTTTGTGAAAAGCGTACAATAAGAAGAAAGAAACAATTTGATGAGATTGAAAATGAAGACATGAAATTATATGTTAAAGAATCTTTCAGAATTAATTATTTTACATATTTAGTTGATCATGCGATTTCCTCTCTTCAAAATAGGTTTGAACAATTTAAAATATATGAAGATAATTTTGGTTTTCTTTATAGTGTAGAAAAATTAAAATCACTTGATGATGATATTTTGAAAAAAAAATGTTTAAATCTTGAAAACTTTCTAAAGCACGATATGCTTTCGATATTGATGGTTTAGATTTATTTTCAAAATTAAAAGTTTTAAAAGAAATTATAACTATGGAAATGAAAATACCATTTGCCATACTAAATTTTATAAAAAAGGTAAATTCTTTTTCAAATGCATGGATAGCATATAGAATACTATTAACTATCCTTGTTATCGTAGCTTCGATTGAAAGAAATTTTTCAAAATTAAAATTAATAAAATCTTATTTACGTTCAACTATGTCATAATAATGATTAAGTAATTTGGCTATATTATCAATTGAAAAAAATTTACTTTGTAAACTTGAATATAAAAATTTAATTAGAGATTTTGCATCTCGGAAAGCAAGAAAAATAAAATTTAAATAATGTTTAATATTTATTTATTTTATGAAAGAGTCTCTAAAATATTATTTTACCTAGGGCCTCATATATTAGAAAGCCGGTCCTGATTTTATTTATTTATTTAATGTGATTATTTTTAAAATTTATATATTACTTATTTATTGTTTATTTATTAAATTTGAGATATGTTATATAATACTCTCCTTATTTACATACCATTTTTTACGATTTATCAAATGGTTTGAGTTTTTTTTTTTCAGACTATTAGATTTTTTTGAGATTTTATATCATATTGAATTAAATAATTGAAATTGAATTCTATTGAAAAGACTTAAATTTTATGATGAATGGTTTAGTCTATAATTTTTATATTATTTTACATTTAATGAGATAGATTCATTAACATTATTCTAAGACCAAATAATCATAACGAACTCTTCTAATTTTTTTTTTAAAAAAAAACTCTTAATCGAGGGTTGTATCTTCTGTTTGGTAGGTCATAACAAAGGTTATGCTAGTTGAAGTTGTCCGTATTGATTTGAAATCTCAGTAAGAAATATGGAGTATGGTCACACATGATATGTTTTCTAATAAAAGAATATGAATAGAATTTTATTGAAGTAACTTCAATAAAGAATATTATATTGGAATATGGTGACATTCTTTTGCTACAGAAATATTCGATTGATTTGATATGATATAACTTTAACAAAAATCGTAATTATGGTGGTGACATCAGACGTGATTTTTTCTTCCTTCATCGCAAGGGCCATCTGGACCATTGGTCCAACTAGTCGATCCATCTTTGAGTCTTGAGCTCCCCTGCACTAACCCAAAATCATTGCCAATCTTGTGGTCTGACTAGCTAACCAACATGGGATCGATTTGGTGGGCTAAGGAGTCATTCTTATGAGCTGACTAGCTATTAACATGGGATCGATCTTGCGTCTAAGGAGTATTGAATCCTATGCCTCTTACATATGAGTATGACATCAGACTAACTACTTGAACCGACTCCATCTTTATATTCGTTTATGATCATTTTTCTAAAAGAACATGAATGATTTCACGACCGTATACACTATAAGCTAGTCTTTTATCTAAGTGGTCAACTGCCGGTTGTACATATTGTATGAGCTGGGCACAAAGCATATAATTTCAGCTATTCTTTATTTGGATTGGTAGGCCATG